AACATAAAATTTGCAAGGGAACAACTGTTCTGTGATCAATTACCGTATATGGCCTACAGTGTACAGGTAAGATGCTGGCTGACTGCTAACCGGTACTGGTAGCTCAGTACGTAAGTACGATACTGGTACTGGTGCCGGTACCGGTGTCTTACCACAATGAAATTACCGTAACTTATTCTTTCACGGTCCTACCAGTGCAGTAATGCAAGCGTTGTAGCACTTGTAGCCTACTATATTTGTTTATTGGACACGTAGTGGACATAACGATTGTTTCAATATTATGTTGTTGTTCTTGTTCTTGTTCTTGTTCTTTGACACGTTTTTAAAAAGTCGCTTTTCTCTTTGATTACTGGACTAATTGCTTTGAAATTTTCAGTGGTTGAAGATGAAATTTTTCTCCAGAAGGCTATTACTTTTATTTATTTCAAATATTTCTGTTAGCTCTGTAAGATTTGTTTTTGTTTGCTATGACGTCACTAAACGTTCGGCGGATATCGAACGCCATTTTGTGTCCAACGGACCATCTTGCAATTTCAATTCACGCTGTCACAAGACAGGAGTTCTGGTACCGTAACACAGCGCGGTGACACTGAACTAACTCGTAGCTGTCAAAAGCTTGAAAATCCATACAAATATGAGAAATAAAAAGATGAAACTTGGCAGGTGGGTAGAGTTGTGTTTCTTTTAACCATATTTGAAAGTTTCGCGTTCCTACATTTGAAGGAGGGGGAATAGGGGGTGTTCATTTCCGATACGTCGATAATATCTTTGTCAACCAATTTACGGCCACCGTGTTTTCGTCTGTTTGATTGCTGTGATGTGGTGCTTTGTTTATAATTTAACGAGTTTTGTTCGAAATAACCGTGTTCTTGAAATATAAGACGGTCAGAAATGCAATTAGAAGCCCAATGTTTTCACGCTGTCACAAGACCAACAATTGTCAACCAATTTGCGACCACCGTGTTTTGTCTGTTTGATTGCTGTATGGCTGCGTATGCGATAGTCTCGACGCAGCATAAACGATGATCAAGGCTTGAAATCCGTGGTCGCACACTGGTCGTTCGGTCGCAAATACGTCTTTCGAGTGCCGTACTTTGGGGATTTGTATAGCTTCAACCCTTTGTCGTAGAATGTTAATACGAGGTTTAGCGTGTAGAATAAATGCCGCCAATGCACCCACGGTGAAAAAATTAACGGGTTAGATATATTGGTTTTTGTTTTATAGCGGTTTGAATGAAATTGTCCGCAGACTGGCTACACCACCCTAGGCCTGGTGAGTTGTCCGTGTAGTCGAATTGTCCATCAGCCCTAAACGGCTATGACAGTCACTGTACCAAAAATTGTACTCCGATTCGGCTGGTGTTAAGTTGACGCATGTTATTTAGTAACGTTTTTTTCTGAAATGTTTGACTGTGGTTCGGTACCTGATCCGATAATACGGTACATAATTGACTCATACCACGAGATATTTCAACTGATGTTTCAATTGTCACAGGACCTAAAATATCTATGACAGTCCCTGTACCGTCACGGTACCCCGATACAGGTACTGGTAAGTCACCGCCGGTATGTTAGTCGTTGGTCACCGCATATGATTTTTGGGGAATTGTTCTGCGTGTCCATATATTTGAGCATTGCTCTCTTGTTTTGATGAGAGTCTACTGGAAACAACATAAAATTTGAAAGGGAAGAATTGTTCTGTGATCAATTATCTGTCCTAAAGTGTAAACAACATAAAATTTGCAAGGGAACAACTGTTCTGTGATCAATTACCGTATATGGCCTACAGTGTACAGGTAAGATGCTGCCTGACTGCTAACTCAGTACCGCTTGACACGTTTTTAAAGTCGCTTTTCTCTTCGAATACTGGACCAATTGCTTTGAAATTTTTAGTGGTTAAAGATAAAAATTTTCTCCAGAAGGCTATTACTTTTTTTTTCGCTATGACGTCATCAAATTTATGTGACTCTACGTGTCCATATATTTGAGCATAGCTCTCTTGTTTTATATTTTTGTAGACAATACGATTCGTCAGAAAAAATGCATCATCTTGATCACAATAACATTTACAGTGTTGCTTGGAGTTGGTTTGGTTACTGTTTACATGCTGAGTAAGTTAAGTTTCATTCACAGCTGCTCACTAAGCGTTGATAAGTGTTTTTTGTCAATCACATCTACGTAAACTTCATGTTTTGTCTAGACGTTTCAACAAAGCCTATTTAATAACTTTACATTAGAGACACACTAAAGATCCGGGGCGGGGGTGTATTGGGGTTGGTATAACTTAGACTAGTAACAATAAATGGTTTGGTCATGAATTTACATTCATTATTAAAACATAATAAACCGGCATCGGTCAGCGTCAATCTTCCTGTCGGTCCGCAAAATAGATTCCAATTTATAACTCAATCGCAAAATACAAGGCATTGGCGGCCTGACCATATATTTTGAGAGTTTCCCCTCCTGTTGTTCCGTAAACCAAACTTGGCCAGAAAGCCCATTTCAGACTATGAACAGGCTGAATACCATTGTCACAGTTTCGGTTATCGCATGAAAAAAATGTCCTGAGCTTTCCCAAGTATAGCTACAATCGCCCGAAATGGCATATTTATTCTCCAACAATAATGAACTTACTGACGACAGCGATCCCTCTCATGTCGGGATCGTCACGACGAGACATCGGGAAAAATAGCTTGCTTGATTTCGGGTGATCATCTGCGCGTCTTGGATGAAAGTTAGTTTAGTTTAGAGGCCTTATTACTTTACTGTGACGTCGTAGTACGTAATTTTTGAATGGTGTGGTAAGGCGGAGCTTAGAAAAACATTTGCAAAAAATAGTTGTGCCACGCCAACTAGAGGTACTTACATCGTTTTGGAACATGGTGATTTTTTTATTAAATTAAATTGTGTACTACTTTCAATTTTGTTCCATGTTTTTGATATTCTAAGATTTGGAAGGCTCGGCGGTCCATGGAATCAGTTTTAAAACTTTACCGGTACGCGAGAACCACTGTTAAAAAACGAATGTTCAGAAATAAAACCAACGAGTCTAATTAACCGGAAAAAATGTTAGCTAAAAATCAAGAAACGCAACCGATCGGAAATGTTGGAGTCGACAACAAAAGTCTTGCGAACCTTGTTCAATATGTTGACGGGCAGAGCAAATATATCACTCAGTTGAAGTTACGCATCCACGAACGACAAGTGAATTCAACTAACAAAAGATTGGAAGAACATGGCATGTCTGAAGGTGATTTGAAGCAAGTCAACAAAACAGCTCTAGAACAACTTCAAACAGCAACAAACGAGTTGAAATCTGTACAAGAGTGTTTGATAAAAGATTCCGTGATGGAGGCAGAAGGTAATATTTTCTTTTGACCCGTTTCATTTACTGTGCCATGGTATACCACGAATAAGAAATATTTGGTTATGCAAACGCATAAAACCTGAAAATTAAAAAATCATATTCTGCATATCTCATGTTATGTTATGTGTGATTATCTTTGAGTTTGTACAATATTAAGACAATTCCAGTCGTTTATTTTTTTAAAAAGTTTTTTAAAACATTTGTAAGAAAAGAATAACTATCGCATAATTTCTTCATACAGAAAAAAATTATACCACCGTCGATGGCAAGTTATTGGGGACCGCGCTACTGCGCCTGGATTGAAATATCCTGTGGCCTATAGCAGTGTGTGTGCGGAGTACTGGTCAACAATTGCACAAATAAAAAATAGACGGGAATACGATTCTGTGATGTCGATGATGCGCCCAAAACGTGGATCCATTACTGCTTGGATTGGATTGGAAATCAATCCTATTGTAAGTCCCACGAGATTACACGTTATTGCAATATTTTTGATTAGCATGAACCTTTCAAAAAACTTCGGACTGATTCCTCCTACTCATGTTCACAAACCCGATGTCTCATTTAGTAGAATGAATTATTCGTTGAATTATTATTTGGAAAATGCGCCATGTGAAAATGAACCTCGACTGGGCAATAGAATTAACGTGCATCGTTGTCATATTATTTTTCAGACAGGACAAATCTTTCCACCTAACGGATTCACGGAATGGCATGTTGGATATCCGAGAATTGGCTATGTATGCGAGAACTGTACAAAAGTCTCACTTGTAGTTCGTTCCGATCCAATGAGTAATTACCAAGGAATGATGACCGTTCCACCAAGTTGGAGAACACACAAAGTATTATGTCAAATTGAAACGCCAGTGTCCGTTTTGAACGACGTCATATTCATATGGATGAGTGCAAAATTAGATTACATTTTAGCAATGGCAGATAAGCCATTGATTTTTAGTCCTATATTTAAAAATTTACTAGCGGGAAATAGGCAGAATTAGGATAGTTTTTATTCGAATCAATATTCCTAATGGCCGAATAGAAGTATAGCCATGCGATTCCAATTCACACTTCTACTCTACAAATGTACCTTAGGCAAACCAGATGTTGCAATGCACAAAACGAATTTATCATGTATGAAATGAGATTTCGAAATTTGATTTCTGTTTTTGAAATATGCCATTGTTCACATATCCTCAAGGAAAAAAACATGCGCTCTTTGTTTCTTGAATATTTAGAGTTCCACGGCGTCTCAAAAAGCAGGTTTAGACTTGTCTGAAAGCTGACCTAATTGTCTTTTTGAGAGATTTTGTTGTCGAGTCGGTTTCGCTTGGATTGATGACACCGATACCAAAACAAAACTTTTTTAAAAATTTTTTTTCTCATTCCCAACGCAGCACGGCTGAGCGAATAGCACACGCGTCTCGAAAAACTGGCATAAAGCGACGAAATACCGATTTTCGATGATATCTAAGTGAAGATTCTCGCAAGTTTGAACAAAAAGGTATGACATTTTTTAGGAGGGGTATGCAAAATACCCTAGGCAGATGTCGGCTGAATATTCTAGATAGAATATTGATATCTAGATAATTCCAGTATGTCCCAGAGATACGGCTAATGAAATATTATGCTCTGTAAATATTCACGTTACATTATCGAAGTTATTAAATTGCGAGAACGATACGAGATATAGATCAATTATTTTTTTCGTGGATGACTTAATGCTCGTATTATCAATTTGAAATTCCTGGTCTTAATTTTGTTACGCTTTTTGTCCACAGTTCTTTGTCATCCTTTCTGGAACAAATTCGTTTTTGGCACCTAGGCTATCGTGTTCGGTCATTTCGCATGAAGACCCTTTATTTTGTAAGCATGCAAACACCGAAATTAGAATATATATATATATGTGTGATTTAATAAAAAATAATAAAAAAAATATTAAAAAAAAAAAAAAAATTTCTCCACATATTATATATGCATAGGACTGATTTTCTGAATTATCTGCTAATTTCTTTCTTTCTGGTGAATTCTATCGGCAAATATCCAAAATACAGTTCTGGCAACCACAGATCCTATCATAATATATATTTTAACATAAACGCAGAAAGCAGTTGTCCAAGCATAAGTCATCATCAGGCCTATTCCGCCAAGAACATTCTGTATCGTGAACCCTACATCTTTATCTGGACATAGAGCGGATGTTGTTACTGAAACATAAATAATCGTAAGAATTCGGCGATATAATATTTCTATATATATTTGATTTCCATAAAATGGACTTTCGACAAAGTAAAGATGATCTCAATGCTCGGTCCTATAAAATAAATTAGGTTTGATGGCTCGTCAAGTATGTTTTCAAGGCCAAGCAAAACCTCAACGATGGTCGGGAAGTTGCCCTGTTCAATCTTACAGCAACATCGAAATTAAAAAGCTATACTTCAGCTATATTATCAGCCCTGAGGACCATCCAATTGAATAAACTTGTTTCGAGTTCACAATCACTTAGTTTGTTTCGACAAATGAATGCTGAACAGTTAATTCTGTAGAATACCTGAACCGAAGCAAGAAAATAAATTGCTGAAGTGGCGGGAGGTCTATCTCAATATGTCAGGATTTCGAGTCGTTTCGTGATCTTTAATATAACCCGTGAACCTACCGATTGGTATTGTTAAAAACTCAAAATCATATATTTAATATTGCCAGCAAAAGTGTTTATTTGAAAACCGTATCTAGAGAAATGCTGTCACTCTGGTCGGTATTTTGACCACATGCAACGGCTTAATTTTGAGGACCGTCCGCGAGTGTAAGACTCATTTTCAAAACAAATTACCAAACCCACAAAAAAAAAAAAAATTTTGTATTACCTGATAATTTGAAATAACATTGATTAAAGTACCATAACAGTTGAGCATGACGCTTGAAAAAAAATGCCGCCATTCAAATTTCTCCCTCATATTTAATAGTAATAACTTAATGGATTCAAAACAAGTCAAAATATCACAGTATCTCCATTTCGCCCATTCGTTGAATATCGCATGGATATGTGCATCTACACACAAAGGAGATTGTAGATAACTAAAACAGATGCATGCGATAGGTAGCTGTTTTAACCTTTGGCCAGTTTTCTTCCCCATCACAATTACTTGAAATTCGAACTGTTTCAGAGGCCATAAAAAATACCAGAACAAACTTACGATATTGTGTATTTCTTCTAACTGCATAAGTGACTCCGAAAAGTGAAGCAAAAATGTAGACAAAATATGAAGTCGATGGTGTTGGAACCCAGAACAGAATAGCAACGTACAATGCAATGTCGTAACACATACCAAATAGGAAAATGTAAAACATTCCAAAGTTTGAGGCACATCTTGATATTATCATAGAGACAATAAGTGATAGAAAGTCGACCAGCGCACTTGTTAGTCCAACCTGAAATATAAAAAGAAAGAGTGCGTGTGCGCGTAAGCCTTGGATTTAATACAGGAAGTGATGTCGCTGTTTTGACAGTCGCTCACTTGAATACGTCGCTGTTTTGACAGTCGCTATTTGGAACCCGAGCCGTTTGATTATTTCAATTCCATATATTTGACATTTCATTTGTAGGCTGGAGGTGCCTTGGCAAACATTTCCCGGAGACATGTAAGAGTCACTTGAAGCCCAGTCAATCACTATACTAGATTATTTGAAGAAAATGTTATGATATCAAGATGTTTTTCCAAAAAAACAAACAAACCTGGCTTAGCCCAACCACACACGAAGCGTAGGCACGACTAAACTCTGACCAAATAAATGAAATCGTTAATCCATATAACAGATAAACCGGCGCAGAAAGTATTCCTTGCAGAGAAGTTAGATGTAGAACTGATATTTTTATTGGCGCGAACAAATTCGAGCAATCATTTTCTTCTCTTAGTTTGTTCAGTAATAGTTTTCGATTGGGAGATTCTTCTTCATTTTGGCTGGCTGTATGTAAAAATATATAATTCTATTTTGAAAACATTTCTTTCAAGCACAGTTTATAGTTGCCTTCGTAAACACATTGATATATTGAGAACATTTACGCTAACAAATACAACTATGAAATGAAATACAACAAAAATTCAATACTGAAATCACAAAACATCCAACATCAAGTATTACTAATCATTTCTGTCATTGTAAATGTATTACTATCATTAAGCACACCAAATTATAGAAAATTTTCATTGGACTGAGGTTACAGATCGCCAGCAATTTCGTTTCTTACCGATCATATTCTTTCTATAAGTATCAACTGGGATTGGATCCATCGCTATTGAATGCAGTAAGACGGCCCCTAGTTGCATGAGTAAATACCAGCCAAACAGTACGTATCTGGAACAATCGTCTGGTATGAATACATCAAGTTTGATAGAATTACTGTATGCATATTCAGCCTGAAAGCAAACTAGAAAAAAGTTTCTGAAAATGAATAATAATCAAACCGAAATAGGATAATTTGAATTATTATACTGACCGGACAATCTTTGGCCGCACATTGAGAAGTATCAATAACGGACGAATTACTAGTTTTGTATTGCGGAGCTTGTGTAGATAAATTACTGTCAAAATCTGTTTCCACTGTTTTATGATTAAGTCCTAATAAATCGTCATTGACAAATTCAAGAATCAGAACGGTGACACCATTACAAAAAATCTGAAAATAATAATATTATACAGAAGGTTCGAGTGCTGATGAAAAGGCAGATATGGAAAAACTTTTAAAGATTATATTCGAACATCAATGACTTGACAACCATGGCCGACAAAGAACATATTTTGCGATTGCAAACGTAGGTTTAGATGAATTCATACTATATACATATCAACATTTGGTAATTGGTATTAATCAAATTCAATTTATTGGAGACATGGCAATTTTTTGCATCTGTTAAATTTGATATGCAAACTTAAAAAGTTTCCTAGGTAGGGTAGTAAATATATATATATGATATGTTAATAGCTGTTAGGCAGCTATTATTTGAAAATGTTGAAATATGACATATTTAGAGAAATCAGAACTGCGGCTTCATTCTCCCTGTATATGAACGACTCACCTGGCCAAAGGCGACAATTCCTAAATATATTCCAAAATACTTTTGAGTGGCAATATCAGCTTGTTTTCCAATTTTATTCTCCAGATCAGCAGTAGCCACTTTGTGAACAATTACTGCACTTGCCGACCACGTTAATGATGATGACATCAATCCTGTTAAAGCAGCTGTCGGGTACATGGTAAACCATCCTTGAATTAAAACACAATTTATATTTGTGAGATTGTTTCTCGTGACTCATTCGTGTTTACCATATATCTAGCGATTTTTCGGCAAGTCATTCGTATGATACAGAATAAGATTAACATTCGAAACTATTTGTATTTTGAACAGCAAGTTTGAATTAATAAAAACTTAACGACAAGAATCAGTTTCATTATTGATTTCATAGCATAGATGTTGTAGCATATGTTGTAAGGATCTTTTAATTAGTAAATAATCTGTCGTTAAAGATTAATCTTACTTGGATAAAAGTTTGCTATCGTTAAGAATGATGCTATGATCTCTCCAGTAATCAACGTTGCTTTTGCACCAAACCTTTTCAAAGTATAGGGCGCTGTTATAATACCGGCTAAGCCACACAAAAAACAAATCAGAAGACTTTTTGGTCCGAGATCATTCTTGATATTGATACTGCTCTGAAGTGTTGCCAAGCCTGACAAATACCATATATAGGCTATATATAAATTATTATATTCAAACATCAGTAGTCAAAACAAGGCTTCAGAAAATACAGTGAGTGCGCCACAAACAGTGGCGCCGCCAGACTCCCTTTGAAATATTTAGAAAACTAAAAAAGTCGCTAATATCGCGTTCGATTGTATTTTGCCAAAATCGATGATTGCTTTCCTTAGCGTGACGTGGTATTCAGGTCGCAAACACCGTAAAGTTGGTTTTTATTTTTATTAAATCATAAAAATTATACCATAACAACTACGATATTTACATTCTTTATGTACTCGCATAGAATTGTGAATCCGTATAGCATTATTAGACATTCGTCGGCGGCGAGATGCTAAAAACAAAATAAAGAAGTGAGTCGGCGACGCAAATTTTTTGATTGCAAAGCGGCAACATAAAAATCGAAAAATAAAACCGTAATCAATTTGTTCTAAGAGGTCCCAAGCAGATTAAAAACGCTTCTCTAGGCATCATAAATCGCAGAATTTCGTTTTGTTTGGTCGACGTTGGGAACCATACCGTCACTAGAGATTTACCTTTTTACCTATCACTATAAATTGCCGTCGAACATTTTACTGTTGACATTATACGAGGTTGGAAACGCGACTTTTTCCGGTTTGTGATGAGTCTAATGATATATCAGATAGTATAGTAGTAACACAAATATATTCAATCAATTCTTATTGTACTAAAATAAATTTTACACCGTGAGATTTCATACGAGGTTCAGAGATTTTTCTAACGGTTTTATCTTTAAAATAATCAGTCAGTGTTGCAAGTTAAGCTCGCTTAGATTTGTCGAATTTGTAAAATAGCATAAATACGGACCAAAACAAGATATAATCGGGTAAAAGTTTTTAATGTGAAACGAAGTGTATTAGAGCAAAGCATTTGTAGTAATCTGTCAGCAAAATTTAAAGTAACTCAACGACAAATCCTTTTCTTTCCAAACACTGTTCAACACAACATACACACATTCTGTCTCACAATCATAATTTCAACTTTCTTATGTTTTAATGAATTTTGTTACATTTTTTTTCACTGCACGCTCAAGCTTGGCCACTGCTCCGTAGTTAAACTTAGGTGCTTTGTATGGGATATTGGGTAATTAGCTGTTTTTGGTTAATAGTTGTAGTTGTACGTGTTTCAACTTAAAATCATTCCAATCTTAAAATTAGAAAAAAAGCTCCTTGTCATAAAAAACGTAACACTTAGGCGTCCTGTAGGCTATAATGACCATACCGCGTCATGCCGCTATAGATACCAATACCAGCTTAAAAACAATCATTCGTAAGGTAAAGAAGATCAATGCGAAGAATAGTTCTCATGAACGTACAAATTAAATACAGGTGTATAGAGTGAGCCGAGGATTCAAGCTCAATGTGCAGCAAATGGCCGTCAAAATGCAGGTCCGACTCGATTAGTCTCCTAAACTTAAAGTGGTTTCAGAAATTTGAATAAGGTACATTTAAATTTCTCTAAGTAACATTTCTCAACCGTGGAGAAATTCCTTCCCAGATAAACATTTTGTCCATCTTAATTCGAAATTGTGTCTAGTATTTTCTGTAGTACAATTACTAATATTATTTAATATTATCCATTTATATAAACACTTCAAATGTACAAAAACATGAGTACGACTCACGCATGGTATAGCTAAGAATCCATTGAATAAAGATGAAACATATAAAGTGGTTTTTATGCATAGTAAGAAAATACTTACCTACAGTTGAACCGACGTATGCAGCAAATCCAAATGAGCATGCATAGAAGGTACGTTTTGGATGTCTCAACGTCACCGATGTTGTATTTTCATTTTGCATTTCGTTAATGCTCATATTGAAATTAAAAATGGCAATTTTGACAAATGACAAATTTAATGAAATAATTTCAAGTTAATAAGATACAATATGAATTTGTTATTATGCTGTAAGGCAAAATACTTTTAAACGATACGATTAAACGATAAACATAATTTGTCTATACGTTCTGATCTCCATTAGTGTTATATAATATGGATCATTCAGAAGATAAAAGTTTTGACTATTTTAACAATCACAAATATCCACAGTAAAGCGAAATGCTTCTATATATAAAAAGAACGCAGATGTTCAATGGAATTTTAAAAAGCATTTGCGCAATAGTGAAATGAGATTTCCCTTAGAAAAATTTTTTGTCTCATCTTCCAATTCTTTCCTCACATAATTAGAGCACCATTAAATAACTTATGAACGTTTTTCAACTCTAAGTCGAAACCTATGTGTATAATATATTTAAATATACTCTTTGACTATGACTAAGAAAATATTATAAATAAGAATACTAGAAAGTTTGTAACCCTTGGCAGCGATATGCGTACGTATAGCAACTCTGATTGATGTATGGATGGGCACCAACATTTTTGACGTTGGACTGTTGTTAGAACGGAAAATATACAATGAATAGATCTTCATCTTCAAGCAAGAAAATAAGCTACTACACTATTCATTTATTTTGCTGCTAATGCCTTTTGATAGATTGCAAAAGTTCGTCTGACATCTTTCTGCCGTCATGATCTCAGCAGTATCGATGTAATACCTAATTGACCGCAACTTACTAGTAACCTTATCTAATTAATATGACATTTAATCAATAAATTGAAACTCACACTTCATATTTAAACCGGTTGAAGTGCAGATGAAGAGATTGCCATGGCTGTTTCCGTTTTCAACCGTCTGAGCTGAGATCTAGGAAACGGAAGTCTCAGCGTCAAAAATATTATGTATGTGAGGCAAATAACCAACATCGTTTTTTCCAGTGTTTGGTAAATTTTGGATATAATATATTCAAAAATTCACAATTATAAATCTGCTCAAAAATGTAAACGATAAAAAAGTAAAGTAAAGATCATATACATTTGCTGACCTCATTTCAAAATTTGATTGAATGTTTGAAATTCAAGGCCCCGAGCAGTTACGCAAAGGAATGAGTTGCATATCTCCACTGATACTAAATTCGGGACAAGAAGATTCGGAATTCAGTTTATTTGCAATTTAGTCTAAAACTGGCAATAGGAAACGGGAAGTCTCAAATTATTCCGGAAACCTTAAATGAATCTAACGAGCAAATTTTGCGATTGAGCTAGAAATTTAATATCATTCTTAATTCTTAAATATATTATCACGTTAATACGATTCCATGAGAGAAATTCCATGTCTCATTTTAAAGCAAAGAGAGAATGTGATATTTGACATTATTTGTCCCAGTACTGTTTCTAAGTTTAGGCTCATTAACGATGTCTCAACGTCGCCGATGTTGTCCTTTATTTTTCATTTCGTTAATAGTCATATTGAAATTGAAAATGGCAATTTTGATAAATAACAAATTTCATGAAAATACTTCAGATTAATAAGAAACATGAGAATATACTTATATTCTGTAAGACAAAATATATACTTGTCAGATTAAACGATAAACATAATTTGTCTTCACGTTCTGATCTACATTTATGTTATAGATCATGGGTGGGTGAGCGAACACGTACTACTGGGTGAGCGAACACGTACTACTTCTTTTATCAATACCTTTCCATCTAAAATCTGTACGTTTCAAACCTTACTCTAGGTTTTGTTCGCTTTCCCGATTCTATAATCAGTTACTTTTACTTTTGTTTTTATCTATTTTTTTTTATCGTCTATTGCTGATTATGGAGTCGAAATAAACTTATACTTATACTTATAAACTTATACTTAGTTCTGACTATTTTAACAATTACAAATAGCCACGGTAACGCGACATGCTTCTATATATAAAAAGAACACAGATGTTCAATGGAATTTTAGAAGACATATGTGCGATACTGAAGTGAGACTTTCCTTGGAAAAATGGTCCAAATACATGATTCAATCATTCTACGGTAATAAATATTTTGTCTGATCTTGCCATTCCTTCTTCACATAATTAGAGCACCATTAAATAACTCGCATACCCTGTATCTAATGAGAGGCCAAAAGTGGTTGATTACAGCATATTATTATTCGTTTCGTACTATTGTGCGGTAACATCAACAAATGTCCCTGACCCAGCTTTGAGATATATATAGGACATCAATGATTTCACGTTCTAATAAGGGCGAGCAATACCTCTACCCATTCGAGCTCGAAGAGAAAGGCACGTGGGGAGCGTGCCATGCATCCGCCATACGTTTTACAGCAGTCCTCGTGGAACGTTACTAAACACACGGACAGAAAAGCGCATTTTTTGCAATGCAGGCTTTTAACACTCTTGCTGGAATATAGTATAGACATTTATATATCGCAAAAATAAATATTTGTTAACTCTAACGAAGTTCTGTGCATAATATATATTCAAATATACTCCTCGACTATGATTGAGAAAGTCTTATAAGTAAGAATACTAGAAAGTTGTAACCCTTGGCAGCGACATTCGTTCGTATCGCACCAAAATTTTTGATGAATTATGATAGACAATTATTTTTGTAAGATTACTACATTCATCTGACATCTTCCTGCAGTATGGTGGCCCATCGTTGTCACGCGTAAAATTGAAAATAAAAATAAAAAATAAAATAAAAAACCGATAATAAAAAATTTTTGTAAAAAAAACATAAAAATAATTAAAAAAAAATGAAAAAAAAATTAAAATTAAAAATAAATAAATAAATAAAAACGAAAAAAAAAAAAAAAATTAAAAAATTAAAAAAAAAAAATTAAAAAAAAAAATTGAATAAAAAGAAAATAAAAAGGTTGACAACGATGGTCCGCCTCGTGGCCCATCGTTGTCACGCGTTTTTATTTTTAGAAAATTTGCTCCTGCTTGGGACCAACGTTGTCAGGCATAATCCTACGCGCACAAATGTGTTCCCTGGGTTTCAAACTCACTACTGATTTTCTTGAGCAATATTCAATATGAAAATGTTCTATAAATTCTCCATGCTACAAGTTCAACAAGAAGTAATATATTCATAATAATGATAAGAGAATATAGAATTGAATACGAAAATTCGGAAAATTTGTTTTTACGTGTATAAGGTAATTTAATTGGAGAATGCTGCTTAACTACTCAGTTGTCTGGACACTCGCGATGCCGGTACCGTACCGTCTTACCAAATACCGGTAGTCGGTTATAGTCGCTTTGCGTCTGACCGTACCGGTAGCCATACAATCACTCATCATCTCCCATTCTTTCACGAGTGATTGCATGGGTACCGGTACGGTCAGACGATACCGTACCGGCATCGCACGAGTGTCTGAGCAGTTAAGCAGCATTTTCCAATTAAATTACCTTCTACACGTAAAAACAAATTTTCGTATCCCATTCTATATTCTCTTATCCTTATTATAAATATATTGCTTGTGGTTGAACTTGTAGCATGGAGAATTTGTAGAACATTTTCATGTTGAATTTATTGGATATTGGTCATGAAAATCAGTAGTGAGTTAGAAACCCAGGAAACACATTTGTGCGTGTAGGATTAAGTCTGACAACGTTGGTCCCAAGCAGCATCAAATTTTCTAAAAATAAAAACGCGTGACAACGATGGGCCACGAGGCGGACCATCGTTGTCAACCTTTTTATTTTCTTTTTATCCAATTTTTTTTTCAACTTTTTTTTTTTTTTTTTTTTTTTTTTATTTTAATTTTTTTTTAATTTTTTGTTTGTTTTATTTTTCAATTTTTTTTTTTAATTTAAATTTTTTTTCATTTTTTTTTCAATTATTTTCATGTTTTTTCACAACTATTTTTTTATTTTCGCTTTTTCATTTTATTTTTTCATTTTTTTTTTAAATTTTACACGTGACAACGATGGGCCACCATACTGCAGTCATGATCTCAGCAGTATCGATGTAATAATATATGATTGACCGCAACTCACTATTAACCTTATCGAATCAATATAACATTTATTCAATAAACTGAAACTCGCACTTCATATTTAAACCGGTTTAAGTGCAGATAAGTGGTTTCAATGGCAGTTTCCGTTTTTAACTGTCTGAGCTGAAATCTGCGAAACGGAAGTCTTAGCGTCGATGAAATTATGTATGTGAGGCAAATAAACAACATCGATTATTCGAGTGTTTGGTACATTTTGGGTATAATATATTTAAAAATTCACATTTTATAAATTTGCTCAAAAATGTACACGATGAAAATGTAAAATAAAGACCATATACATTTGCCGACTTTATTTCAAAATTTGATTGAATTTTTTGAATTCAGGGCCACGAGCATTTAACGCAAAGAAGTTAGTTGCATAATTCCAGTGACACTAAATTTGGGATGAAAGGATTCGGCGTTTTGTCTAAAATTGGCAATAGGTAAGCTTACCATACGTCCCGCTTTAGGCGGGACGGTCCCGCTTTTCAGCGTTTTGTCACGCCGTCCCGATAAATTAGCCAAAAGTCCCGCTTTTCCAGCATAATACACAAACATGTTCTCGTTACTGTTGTTTCTGTGTAGCGCAAGGTGAATGCGTTCGTTTCCCGCTGATCCCATCGATGGCAGACGTATCGCATGTAAAACCAATACTAATTAGTCTAAATTCGAATTATTTGTACCGGTATCGTTAACGTCAATTCCTTCCTATTTTTCGAACTGAACCCGATATTTGGACAGAGGATATGCGCATGAAATTTCGATAACAATATGGTCAATAAAGACAGCCGAGACAGCTTTAAATGTAGGAATGTGGCCTATGTAGTAAAATCGGAAAATGTGAAGTTACAAAATCACAGCTAAGGGGCCGTTCGTTGTCTTTCGAAGCGTCCCGATTTGAAGTCACAAAAGTATGGTAACCCTAGCAATAGGAAATCGGGAAGTTTCAAATTCCGGAAATCTTAAATTCATCTAACGAGCAAGTTTTGCGATTGAGCTAGAAATTTATATTTATTCGTAAATCTTTAGAATAGTATCACGTTTTAATACGATTACAATATTGGGAAAATCAATATTGATCCAATACTGAAAATGCTGAATAAGAAAACAACTTCAATTCGTTTTGAAAGGAATTCCATGTCTCAGTAATGATAGAATATCAGATTTAACGTTGTTTATACCAGTACTGTTTTTTTCGAATATCTCTGTATCACGATTCCATAGACGCAAACTGTAATTTATCCTGCCTTTAATACTTTATACACCATAGCATAAATATTGGATGAAAATTTCTAAACTGAACATCTAAAATAATGCAAAATTAATTTGTAATCAAATAATCTGGCTCTGGATTGAATGGTTGACAAGAATTTATTCTATGAAAACTTTAATGTGAGCCTACCAGCATCCTAGTTTACTTTGATCCTTTTCATTGTTACTTTAATTAAACCCTCAGTCATCGACTAGGGTCAGCTTTTAGTTCTGTAGTCGGATCAGCAGATAGTCCAGTATCCTCGGATGAGAGACTGACTGGATATGGGATAAGCTAAAACAAAAATGAAAGTACCACTACTTCTGAGGGTCCTGAGAATATCTAGATCTGTACTGTTGTGTTATAATCCTGGTATAAAGTTAAAATACTACCCCGCGGGCATGTAAATGCAGTCACAGAACAGCAGAATCTTGGATTCGCTCTGTCGACACTCCACTTTGATGACCTAGGTATGGTACGGACGCAGGGATGACTGGCAATTGCCACAACATCCTGCTTAATCCTAATGGCTCAGGATATCTTCCTAGTTATTTCCATCAATAAAACCATTTTAAATACGCTAATAAATATTAAACGAAATCCGCTTCCCTACGCTTTAAGATATAGCAGAACGATGACTTAGTACAGTCCCACTCAAGCGTAGCCAAGCGGCCCCGAGCGAACTAGTTAAGAAAATTATCGCAAAACAATATAGTTTACCGACGTTTCGTTTCTCTGTACAGAAAAAGTTTCATCAGGACATGATATGGAAAGAACACTAGCGTATATATATAGGGCAGGCAAAATAATTAAAGATATTACGCTTTGATAACAAAATTATCAAGGCGTAAAAATCTAAAAAAGGGATAGTATGATAAATTATCTAAGTTAATTAGAGCAAGTACGAACGAATATGGGGACTATCTAACTAAACAATGACTTATACACAGGCCTGAACAAGGTAGTTTCTTTATCATTCATCAAATTCTTCTCTTTGTTAATGTGGTATGATTTGAGAAATAGAATATACCTGTAATGAGTTTCATTTTCCAATATCCTGCCGTTTTGCCAATCAATACTGTGATGTAGAATTATTCTAAGGGAAATGAAACTATTCTAGGAAAAATAATACTATTAGTTGTGTACTGGATTCAGTTCAGCTTTTCTGAATTTCGATATAACGATCGTTGTTCATAACAATTCCTTTTTTGTGTCGTCCGGATCACAAAAACTCACATCCCGCCGACAAAACATGTTGTTTTGACAGGATAGTCAAGGTTTATCATGTGTCTTGTTTGATAATCCATTAACTTTGAGACCACAATATATATGTATGTATAAATATATATACAATCAGATAATAAAATGAAAGAATAAGGCAAAAAAGGACAACATAGAGATACAAGATAGCGTCGAATTGTGACGAACAAGATCGGACACAACCGCTTCAATATGTCCTTTTATACACCAGGGTGGTCCAAGACACAGTGGTTTACCGTGTTGGTGGACGAGGAAATACGTTTTCTCTCAGTTTTACTCTGCCAACTTTCTTTTGACACTCATTTTAAGATGAATTGTTACTTTTGACTAATTAAATAGGGCTATCGTCAAAGAACAATTAATTCATCTAAGTTGGGATTTCGGAACCTATAGCTAAAAACCTGGATGGCGCGGCGCTGAGTCAGCTCCGCGTTTCGTCACAGCTATGGCCAACGCTTAAAAATAGAGTAGTGTTATTACTAAAATAAATGCACAAAACGTCTCCCAAATAAAGAGTTGCTTCACGCGAGCACAAAGCTGCGAAGTTGATATAAAAAGTGCGACTCATTTCATCGGCGGGTCCTGTTTGCACACGATAATTCATTCTCTTTGTACCGATCACAAGGTCGCAAGCAACACGGGGAATACCGAAAGATGAGGAAATTTTGAACGTTGGTTTATTGTATATAGGCGCATTAACAGTGCGCTCGGCTTGAGAACATTTAATACACACAATAAGCCTGCATACTAATGGCCATCCAAATCACCTACCTTTACGAGAAAGAAAACTGTTAAATTATGGCTAAATTATAAATTTGATCACAATTATAGCTTTGGGAACACGGCACGTTGGAACAGCTAATATCTTTACCACTTCCGATTGGTCGCTTCTTTCTATCAATTACACGTCTTTGTACAAAAGAGTGTTATTTATTGCTTGCTTATTTCAACTGAAGATAATAATGTATTTCATATTTTTCCCAACTCCAAAAAACATAAAATGCTTTCGGGTAAAAGTCATGTGTAAAATATTAGACAACTTGCTCACAGAAAGCAACGTAAAACATGTCACAAATGATTGCGAGTCATCAGATAAAATGAGCAGCTGTTTGGGATTCTATGTTCAATTTCTTTGCTGATTTGTTTAAAATATATTAATGTTTGATTTTATTCCCGCAATTTGCTCTGGGAAACTTCATCAGTGACCTCGGGGCATCTAATCAATCATTGAAATAGGAATTACTACTTGTACTTGTGAATAAAGATAACAAACATCACTACTAATCCAAAAGTATACCAATAAATAAATAGTATGATTGATTTTTCCCGTCTGCTAGTTGATTGAACGTGGATCTGGTCCTAATGCAAGACAAAGAAAGTAGTTCACCGCCTTCCAAAATGAAGATTTATATTTGGTAGGGAAATATTTACGACCTAGATTTTCTAGAATCTAGATCAACTTCGTGATGGAATCGTTGAAACAAAACTAGGTCAATGTAGTGTTACCGGATTACAGTATACTTGTCGTTATTCTTCGCTTCGATAATCAGTAATCAAGGCATGCAATGAAAATGTTCAGATGGATTTTCATTGTTGAGTAGGCAGAATGTATTCTCTAGGCATATGCCATCAGTATTCAGTCAGATTAAATTGGCAAATTCCGGAAAAATTGAACATGAATATGCAAGTGATGTATGAACAAAATTAGCAAAATCAAAAAAAATTATCAGTATATTAGGTGTAAAAAGGTTATATGGTATATAGTACATACAGTCTGATCCAACTGGTGATAAATATGACTTTTAAACATTATTCTTTATTTTTGATATTATAGATTATATTACGTTATTTCGGTATATAACCAACTTCTAAGTGTGCTTTTGCACGTCGAAAACTGCGATTAAAAACAATCCGAATATCTTACGCTGTAAATAAGTTTAATATATGCGTGTAAAGTATAATAAAGAGATCAATCGTCATTTGCACATGACTGTTCGTGAGTTGCTGTCGTGTCTATTGTCCGATGTTTTCAGTAATAAATAGACTTAAGTGGGGCATATAAGCTGTAGCTAATAAAGATATTGCCAACTCAGTGTTTAATGCGCTATATCTTTTTATTGTAGGAGTTCTATTAAATACAAATGTTTGTATAGTTTCAGTAATAGAATAGAGGAGTAAAGTTATGTAATGTAGCGTCTGTATTCTTTATTGTGTGGTACAATAGTGAAATTCTAGATTAATTTGGTTTCATGGCATGAAATGATTGTCTATCTATCATACAATATATTTATATATGGAAATCCGTAGATCATTTGGGTTAGCCTCAAATATAACAGAAACTGAATACAATGAGCAATTGGCAAAATGAAAATGATACATCAAATGGATTCAAACACAGAACTCGTACGTTTTATGCATGCTCCATCGGATTTGCTGGTTATGTTGGTGCAACTGTATGTGAGTAATTGCTTTATATTCAAATAGAGGAGTACGTATGTCCGAACACTGGATTCTATGTCCCATTTATTTAAAGTTCTCCATCATTAGAGAAGAATCGGTACAAAAGCGGTTTCTTTACCGTCGTATGTTGAGTAGACGATCATATTTGTGTGCGTATGCATTCTCGCATTTTTACTTGAATACTTCCTCGATATCAAGATATTTCCGCTCTTAATTCATATGTGTCACCCATGACACACCATGAACAATTACACTTTATGTTAGTTTCATCATGGAGGGTATAGAAACAGAATGATCATTAATTCACATATTGATTGGTTTTCTGATATTTGTGTGAGTTTGATTTTTATTCATCAATGAAGATTAAGAGTGGGAATGTAAGTAAAACTTCAGCTTAAAATGAACGAACATCTCCGCAGCAATACAAAAATGTGCAGTTTTGTGATATTTCAAAAAACATTCTCAAATTTCATGCACATCTTCTCAAATATTTCATCTCCAAATTTTGAAGCGTCGAAAATCTATAGTGCGTTTTAAGGTTTTGTCGATATTAAGCGCGCATTCGAGTGTAAAACAAATGATAAGCATTGTTTTATATCACCATATAATTTAGTATCCTGTAGGTGTAGGAAACATTAAAAATAATATTTTAAATATAGGTCTGGTAACACTTCAGAGCAGTATCAATGTAAAGAATGATCTGGGACCGAAAAGTCTTTTCATTTGCTTTATTTGTGGATTTGGTGGGATTTTTACGGCACCGTATGTTTTGAAAAGATTTGGACCAAAAGTGACATTGATAGCCGGAGAGATCATCGCTTCGTCCTATACCTTGGCGAATTTTTATCCAAGTAAGATTTGATGATCTGTTTAATCTATGCATCAGTTTGATTTCGTTTTGTCTCATTTAGTATATCCTGAAATTTATACCAAAGTTAATGATATCAGTATAATTTATTTGTGAAGAGAGTATATTATTATCAAAGCATGGGTTCTCAATATGCTCCATACGAAGCCCACGGGCTCCGTGGGAGGAACTTAGGGGCTCCGCTAGCTAGTTGTTCACTTGCTAAAACACTGCCTGTCTGAAATGAATTAAGTTTAACATTCCAAAGAAGCAATAACTGCTTTATTGAAATTTGACAAAGGTAGCGTCAAAATGTGGCAACATGACCATAGTCTAAATATGACATTAACTATAATTTTCAATAGATAATGGCATATTTCAATTACCGCCTTGTTGCTACATTTCGACACTACTTTATTAATATTTTTGTATCAAATTTACAGCGGTAAAGTAATGTGATCTGTGATTTGTAGATTTATTTCTAGTTTATTTTGACCCCATTAATAAAGAAAGGTTTAGTATTAAATCTGTTCAACAGTGTGTTTTTATAAAATTATTGCGGGGCTCCGTAAATAATAGTCAACCTCTTCACGGGGTCCATAACACCAAAAGTAAGAAAACCATTGCATTACTTCATTCTCTCCAAATGTAACTAGGTTACAGAATGAAGAAATTATTTTATTTGATTCAAGATTATCGCTTTTTTTTGTCATAGTTGGAATATGTTTGTCTGAAGGGTCTGACCTTGGTCAGAAGAAACGTCACATAAATACATTTGTGTTGGTGTGCATCAAGACTCTTGAATCAATCAGAATCCCGGGACTGAAAGTGTTAATAGCGCTCTCCGCTATTTAATTCTTTATTCTTTAGTCGTGTATGATTGAAAAATAGTTTTCAGCCACGACGCTAAGTGCGAATTATATAAATATCATCGATTTGAAAATGGCGAGTATTCGTTGCATTAGTGAAGCCCGCGTGCAGTAATAATTAAGGTGTGACGTCATCAAAATTGTCAACTGAAGTGTTGAATTTGTAAATTCGTAAATACATATGTGAATTTCTGGGTAAAGATTTCAGCTATAATAGTGGTTGTGGTAACCTTTTGTTAAAAAATAACACAAAAAACCGTTAAAATTAAAACCAATTAGTCTTAATCTTCTACTAGGCACAAAAACAAAGTTTAAGGTTGTTTATTATCAATTTTGCGACATTAGGTCGCATAAATAAAACAATATTATAGAAAAGCTTTATAAAGTTATATAGCCGAATAGAAATGTAACATACGCTTTGAAAAAACTATCAGTGAAGCTTTAGGACCTGGATTTTAACGAAGTTTTATTATTATTAAATGACCCATGCAAAATAGTCTCACGAAAGCGGACTGAAAAGGGTTTTAAAAACCAAATATTATACATTTGAGCCTATATCATATACATTATGCTGATATATATTGCGTAAAAATCTTTGCAACGAGGATATATTTAGTTTTCAGTTATATTTTTTCATTCACTGTCTCGTGGAATTCATCGCTATTTTTGGGTAGTATACGCATAAAACTATTATTGCAAAATAAGGTGATTGTTTGTTATTGGACACGTAGTGGACCTAAGGGTCGTTTTATTATTATGTTGTTGTTCCTTATCATGGAATTTTATCGTTGGGAAAAAATGTTTTTTTCTTTGATTACTGGACCAATTGCCTTGGAATTTTCAGCGCTTAGAGATTGAATAGAAGGCTATCACTTTCATTCATTCCTAAATGTTCTATGAATCATATAATGTATGATATTTCATCCAAAAAATCGCTATATTTTTTACTCATGGGAGCACTGTTCTTACCTTATTTCAAGCGGTTCCTCGATCGAATATCAGCTACACCTACACAGGTACGGTACTGGTAAGTTACCGCACCGCTTACGATTTTGGGGGAATCGATGATAAAATATATTTGAGCATCGTTTTCTTAGTTATTTATTAGTACGATTGCTGGGCATCTTGATTTACATTTTGGCTTCCATTTTATTGCTTCGATATCCAATTACAAAAAATGCTCTGTCGAGAAGATTGAGGTACCGCAATATTTCGTCGAATCCTACCAAATCCTATTACATGTAAAACACGAAATAAACAGATTTCATTTTTGCAGGATGGTTTACTATGTTTCCAACAGCTGGATTGTCAGGATTGATATCATCATCATTTACGTGGTCAGCAAGTGCAGTGATTGTTCACAGAGTGGCTACTGCTGAACTGACGAATAAAATTGGAAATCAAGCTGATATTGCTACTCAGAAATATTTTGGGATATTCTTGGGTATTCTGGCATTTGGGCAAGTGAGTTCTTGGACATAAAGTAAGAAACGTAGTTAGTCCTGTATGGAACTTCAAATTAGAGCGAATGATATTTGATTAATGCTATTTTGCCAAATAATAAACCTTATATTCAAACATTTATCCAACGACTGTTAATTATTGTTTGTATGAAGCCCTTAGTAATTTGGAATGACTATCTATAATATATCATGCTATTTAAACGTCCGAACTATCATTCAGCTAATCATATGTTGGCTAGTTAACTCTCTCTCTCTTTCTCTATTTCTATATATATATATATATATATATATAGTAGATACCGAAAATATTTCAAAGAGAGGAATCAATAACTAATATCGGTTCAATAACTTATAAACCTTATTTTTACATTCATCCAAATGATGTCTATGATTAAACACAAAGCATTGATTTTCTCTATGTGATTTTCAGATATTTTGCAACGGTGTCACTGTGTTGATTCTCATGTTTTTCAACGATTATATGTTCCCTATCACACAACAATCTGATACACAGATATCAAATGCAACAGCATATACTCCAGTATCAGAATATACAACCATGAATTTCTCTATTATTGACATCTCACAATGTGGTTCAAGGGATTGTCCGGTAGGTATCATAACGAAAGTATTAACAAAATCAGAGAGTTGAAGTTTTCTTCAAAGTTTCAAGAGTCATTGGATGCTGTTTTCGTATATTATCAATATATATATGTATATTATATTATCGCAAGTCATTATAGTTCGTGTTATTCACAAGAAAAAATACCAATATGAATAAAAATACAATTAGGCTTATAATTTTTCGAATTTTACACTAATGCCTACGATTAGAATATATTAAATCGACTTCGTGGTTCTTTTTTCAGAGCGAATATGCATTCAGCGATTCCAACAAACTTGCAGCATTTGTACCGGGTCAGACTACACGAAATGTGCTTTTGATTTGGTATTTAATAATGCAGTTAGGAGCCGCTTTACTTCATTTTATGTTAATGGATAGTATCGCGGACGATTTTCCCAGTCAAATAGTAGATGGTAAGCTTCTGACGCTGTTGGTAGGCAAATAATTTGGAGTATAGTAAATTTAATAAATAAAAAATTGTGGTGTTGATGTGGTAGTCTTTATTCACGGTCATTCATTGTTAATCAGGAAAACTTGCCAAGCAACAATGAGTAAAAACCATCTTGTCCCACCTGATTGCCAACAAAACATTAATTGATACATGCTATTTACTTTGTTATATAATTATATGAATCCGAATTCCATTATCTCCGTAAACCGTTATCATCACATTAGTAAAAATTGGAAATATCCCAGAGCTCAACTTATTTCTTTATTATGATTGTAAGATATTGTGACAGTAATAGTATGCAGTTTCTGGAATTGACTGTTTCGGGATTATGACCAAATTACGTTCGGCGGATCAGTCTTTTTGGTCAATTGTTTTCGTTTCCTTATATAGTTGTGTCATGAAATAATTTTGTTTTACCAGTTTCTAGAAACGAAGAAGAATCTCCAACTCAAACCTTATTGAACAAGCCAAAAGAAAATGTTCATTGGTTGTTCAAATCAATAAAAATATCCTTCATTTATCTCACGTCATTGCAAGGAATTCTTTCTGCACCAGTTTACCTTTTATATGGATTAACAGTCTCATTCATCTGGTCGGAATTTAGTCGTGCTTTCGTTACATGCATAGTCGGATTAAGTCAGGTAGACTATATCCGTGAGTTTATGAAGCATTATGTATTGTAAAGTAAGGAGCTTAAAAAACACAGGGTACGGTTATGGCCAACGTTTGCAAGTCTCTCACAAACTCGTCTTTCAGATATGATCTCAATAATTCCGTATTGCTGCAAACCCCCTCACTACTCCAAAATGGTATTTAGAATATTATTTATTAAAAAAAATCAACATATGTAAATTAAACACTTAAACGTGGTAATTTAATTTCATTTATAAATCTCTGGTGTGTGGCACTAGTACATTGCTGTAGACGTTGTGAAAAAATGTATGCACCATCGAATGAGTACAGTTCTGGACAATACAATCACACTTCCGAATTGGAACCCACATATAAGCATGTAAAACCCTGTCATTACTTATCGACGTTTCACTCTAGGTGAATTTAAAATAGTCTGTCTTTTCTTAAATTATCAGGTTGGAATAACCAGCGCCCTCATTGAATTAATAGCATTTGTTGTATCTATGGCCATATCGAGGTGCGCCTCTACTTTTGGAATGTTCCATATCTTCGTGTTTGGTCTATGTTTCGACGTCGCGATGTACTTGGTGGTTTTACTTTGGGCACCAACTGTTTCTACATCCTATCTCGTCTATATTGTTGCGTTGATGTTTGGAATCACTCATGCTGTTCGGAGAAATACGCAATATCGTAAGTTTATTATTGTCGTTAGATTGAACATTTTCCTATAAAACTATTTCATATTTTTTTGATTCCAAATCCGCTTCAATAATCTTTGCTTATTTATAGTAACAACCTCTGCTTTTTGTCCGGATAAAGAAATAGGATTCACACTGCAAAATGTAATTGGAGGAATGGGCTTGATGCTGACATATTCGTGGACAACTGCTTTCTGTGTTGATGTTAAAATATATGTTATGATAGGAGTCGTCGTTATCACAACTGTACTTTGGATGTTTTCTTATAGAATATACAAGCAAAAGGTAGTAGCAAAAACTAATGAATCTTAGTTTGTGCTCCGGTAACGGACTTTGTAAAATAAATATATACTATATGAAAAGGTTTTTGAATGTGTATATAAGTTGAACGGGAAACGTATTAGTTTGAGATAATGAGGTTAAGCGAGTCCTAAATAATAAGACAAATAACCAATTTAATTCTGAATAAAAAATGAAGTAATTACAATATATATTTACGGAACCAACAGCGGGCAGTTTTCTGTTTTGAATAAATTCCATATGTATTGGGATGGATGAACAGTGCATGAGCTCATTTATTGTTATCCTACGACCGGATGTTTAAAAGAATATATATATGTCTACATATATATATGATATGTCTACATATATATGTCAAAATTGTCGATTTTATATTTTAATATTGCAATATCACGTCACATGGGTACATACAATGAACAAAATTATCCTGTGATTTAGTGTTATAATGTACTACTAATGTATTGTATATTGTAGGAAAAAAAAAACGCTATGAGAATTCGTGCACTTTCTTACCGTTTACACATTTCAAATTTGGTTTGGGATCTTATTTACGAAAAGACGACTAAATTCCACTATGTAGCTACAAAAAATAAATAGTATGAATCTTCGAGCAAACAGCATAAGTTTTTTTGACTCCCAATACGATTTTTCATGTTATTTTGTTGTGAAATTGAATGTTTCTACTCGATAAATATTCTTTGGGTGTCATTTTGGAAATTCATTATCTAATGTCTTTTTTTAACAAAATAATTTTGACATGAAAACAAACAATACTTTTAGTTACTAGATAGTTAACAAAACGCTATTATGGGATTCTATTTTCAAATTGCCATTCAAGCGAACCTATTTTTTGGATTTTCGATCATAATTGGGTTTTCAGTTGGTATTCTCACTGCCGCATATAGATCATCGGCAAAGGCGTCGTCTGACAACCAACTCCACGCTACTCGAGCGATAACAAGTCGGTTAACAGCTCATATTCTCAAATTCCATATTTGTTATTTTTATATATTCCTCATGGCTATTAGTTATGTGATTAAGCAGTCTCTGAATATATTTTAACCCAAGATAAATATGGAAATCCTACGAGGCACAACACTCAACAATCATCGACGACTTTGAATGAACAGATTCAATAATCGCAGTAAAGCTGACATCTAGAATAGATCATTTCTCAGTGATCATGAGAACACTCTATATTGTACGTAAGCAAACACCGAAATTAGGATATAAATAACATATATACGCGGTTCATTAAAATAGAAAACAACAAATGTTTCTAAACACATTATATATGACTAAGACTGATTTTTTGTAATATCTGGCAATTTCTTATTGTGGTGTATTCTATCGGCAAGTATCCAAAGTACTGTTGCGGCAACCACTGATCCTGTCATAATATATATTTTAACATAAACGCAGAAAGCAGTTGTCCAAGCATAAGTCATCATCAGGCCTATTCCACCGAGGACATTCTGTATCGCGAACCCTACATCTTTATCTGGACATAGAGCGGATGTTGTTACTGAAACACAAAAAATTGTAAAATGAACCTGTCAAATTAGTGATAATCGCAATTCTTTGTCCCATAAAGTGAATTTGGGTACGATAGCTTGTTAAATATTGTATCGTGGCCTAACAAAAACCCAATGGTTGGAAAGTTGCCTTGTTCAGTGTTACAACAACTGTGGAAATAAGAAGATATAATTTAATAATTAATTATCAGCCACTGAAAACAGCCTAATTTTGAGGACCGTTCGCTGGTGAAATTTCGCTGAAATATTACTTTTGTATTTAATAATAATAAATCAGTTATTTCAAAACAAGTTAAAATATCACATTTATTTATCTCCATTTGACCTATTCGTTGAATATTGCATGGACATGTGCATCTATCTACACACAAAAAAATTGTAGAGAACCAAAACAGACTGGAAAATATACGCGCGGATGCATGCGATGGCCAGCTGTTTTTCAACTGTTTTTCACAGGCTTGTCCATGGGGCATATTTTTCTGTCCCATTCCCATCCCATAGCAGTTATGCCTGTCCCATTCCATTCCATGGAATTCCCATTTGAATAAAAATTGTTAAATTTAGGTTTAGTGTCGACAAAGAAGACTACATGTGCGAAGAGACATGCAAAACAACAAAATTTACGGGATTTGTTAACTTTATATTCATACCTATTATAAATGTGTCCATCACTACCTTTACGAAGTGTATTGTTAATGCTGAATATATTTTGATCTTTATAACTAACAAGCAAGCTATGCTCAAATAATCGGACACGAAATCCATAACGAAATGTTTTACCATCATTTCTCCGAAAATCATGCGTTTTTCGTGCCCCATGGGAAATACAAATGTTTGCTGTCCCATCCCATGGGACGTTTTTCATAAACAAGCCTGGTTTTTCAAGTAAATTGTCCATCATTCCCATATCATTTACTTGCAATTACATGTGTTACATTTGGCGCACTTACATTTTTATTTTAGAAGCTGAGACTTTTATTTTGGCAGCATTACCTAAATATATCACGAGTAAAAACAACTCACGATATTGTGTATTCCTTCTAACTGCATGAGTGACTCCGAAAAGTGGAGCAAAAATGTAGACAACATATGAAGTCGATGATGTTGGAACCCAGACCAGAGTAGCAACGTACAATGCAATGTCGTAACACATACCAAAGATGAAAATGTAAAACATTCCAAAATTTGAGGCACATCTTGATATTATCACAGATACAGTAAGTGATAGCAAGTCGACCAGCGCACTTGTTAGTCCAACCTGAAATAAAAAAAGACATATCATTTCTATTTGAGTTCATTTAGTGTAAATAAATTTATCTTCTGAAGTGTGAAAGGCATATTATGTTAATTCAAAAAGTGCCCTATACCGGGTGTAACTTCTATATAAGTGTAATAACATTATTTTTTTTATATTGAATTAATTGTACGTTAAAAACTTAATTTTAATTGAGCTCTAAACACTAATGAGCAGTATTAAAATTTGCAACCATATCAACATTCGTGGTTGTGCACGCGAAAGATTTTCTCAGGTGCATGATGGTTTCTCCTCACCATTTGATATTCAGTTATTTCAATACCATATATTTGACATTTCATTGCAGGCTGGGGATGACCTTGCAAACATTTGCCGGAGAAATGTTCGAGTCACTCCAAACCCCGTCAATCATTACTAGATTTTTTGAGAAAAATCTTATGATATCATGATATTTTTCCAAACAAACAAACCTGACTTAGCCCAACCACACACGAAACGTAGGCACGACTAAACTCTGACCAAATAAAGGAAATCGTTAATCCATATAACAGATAAACCGGCGCAGAAAGTATTCCTTGCAAAGAAGTTAGATGCAGAATTGATATTTTTATTGGCGCGAACAAAGCCGAGCAATCATTTTCTTCTCTTGGTTTGTTCAGTAATGGTTTTCGAGTGGGACTCAGTCGAACTCAGTTAATAGTTGCCTTCCTAAATATATATTGGTATATTGAGAACATTTGCATTAACAAATGCAAATTTACATCAACTATAAAAGAAAATGAAACAAAAATTCAGTACTGAAATCACACAACAACACAACAAATATTAAGTATTACCAACCATTACTGTCATAGTATCCATATTACAATCATTATGCAACATACACACAAAATAATCAAAAATGTTCATTGGCTGAGGTTACAGACAGTCAGCAATTTTGATTCTTACTGATTATATTCTTTCTATGAGCATCAACAGGGATTGAATCCATCGCTATTGAATGCACTAAGACGGCTCCTAGTTGCATGAGTAGATAGCAGCCCAACAGTACGTATCTAGAAGAATCGTCTGGTATGAATACATCGAGTTTGGTAGAATTACCGTATGCATATTCAGCCTGAAAGCAAAGTAGAAAAAAGTTTCTGATAATGATTAATAATCAAAATAGAAATGTAGTATTTTGAATTAATATACTAACCGGACAATCTCTTGCCGCGCATTGAGAAATATCGATAACGGACGAATTAGTAGTTTTGTATTGTGGACCTTGTGTAGGCAGTGTTGAATTAGTATCAAAATCAGTGTCCGCTGATTTATGATCAGGTCCAAATAAATCGTCGTTGACTAATTTGAGAATCAAAACGGTGACACCATTAGAAAAAATCTAAAAATAAGAATATTATACAAGTGATGATAAAATGGCAGATTTGCAAAAACTTCCAAAGATTATAAACTATGTTCGTACATCTATGACTTGGCAACCATGGCCGACAAAGAACATTTGTTGCGATTGCAAACGTTGGTTTAGATGTATTCATATTATATGCATTCCTAACATTTGGTAATTGGTATTATTCAAATACAATTTATTAGAGACATGACAATATTTTACATCTGCTAAATTTGAACTGCAAACTTAAAAAATTCCCTAAGTAGGAGGCAGTGTTCCCTCTAAGGTGTGCGCGTGTGCGCGCGCACACAGCTTTCAGAGGCTGCGCACACGCATAGATTTACTGCGCACAGACGTATTTCGATGTAATGTAACAATGTTCTTTTGATCTTTTTTCACCCTTTATTTGAATTCAAATAAAACCATCTGTTACAATCAATTTCATTTAAAATTTTCCATGTATGTTCATTGTTATCTACTGATAACATATAGCCTTCACTAAAGCATTTACAATCTATAGAAAAACCTATTGAATAACCAAAATTTTCTTAATAAGCCCACTTATTACCCGGTTAGAACGCCAAAATTTTTCCATGGTTTTTGCACAAATATTAGTCATTTCCAAAAAAGTGCGCACACACCAAAATTTCTGCGCACACATACTACAAAAATTAGAGGGAACATTGGTAGGAGGGTATATATACAGTATACAATATATGTTCATAACTATTGAGCATAATTTATTTGGGAACATTGAAATCTGACATATTTAGAGGAATCGGAACTGGGGCCGCATCTCTTCCTGAATATGAACGACTCACCTGGCCAAACGCGACAATTCCTAAATATATTCCAAAATACTTTTGAGTTGCAATATCAGCTTGTTTTCCAATTTTATTACTCAGATTAGCAGTAGCCACTTTATGGACAATTACTGCACTTGCCGACCACGTTAATGATGATGACATCAATCCCGTTAAAGCTGCTGTCGGATACATGGTAAACCATCCTGGAATTAAAACACAATCTATATTTGTGAGATTGTTTCGGCACCAATACTCACTCGTGTTTACCATATATCTAAAAATTTCAGGAAGTCATCGGTACGATACAGAATAAGAATAAAAAACTATTTTATTGAAACTATTTGTATTTTAAAAAACAAAACATGTTTGAATTAGTAAAAATCGTAAGCCCTTAATCAGTTTTATTATTGATTTCAATATGTTGTAGCACATGAGAGTCTCTTAATTAGTAAATACGGAAAAAATTAAACTCACTTGGATAAAAGTTTGCTATCGTATAGAATGATGCTATGATTTCCCCAGTAATTAACGTTGCTTTTGCACCAAACCTTTTCAAAGTATAGGGCGCTGTTATAATACCGGCTAAGCCACACAAAAAACAAATCAGGAGACTTTTTGGTCCGAGATCATTCTTGATATTGATACTGCTCTGAAGTGTTGCCAAACCTGAAAAATAACATATATATATAATAGAACTGACGCAAGATAGAATGAAACTATCTTGTCAGGGTTCTCGATCTGTTATGAAGTTTTACGACCACTTCTCTAAATAATGGGCCATAGATGTGAATCACTATTTAAAAATGACCATACAAAGTTAACTGGAATAAATTCATTTTAAGTATAGACAGATTTTTAGCATTTTATAGAACAACAACTGCCTTTTATGGTAAAGCAAACACTGATAAACGTGATCAAATATGATTTTAGTAACTGTAAACACTAACCTCCGGAAATTATTATATTTAAACATCAGTGGTCAAAGCTAGGCTTCAGAAAATACAGTGAGTGTACTAAGATCACACTATTTTTCGACCTTTAAAACTTCAGATCATTCAAACAGGTTTATCGGAGAACGACTTTATTTTTGACAAATCCTTTTCATTTTTATCTCATCGAGTAATAAATATCATACAACTAATAGACTGTCAAACGAGGTACAACAGTGTAACGCTTAAAATTGTGTGAAAGCGTTTTGATCTTGACGATGAAATAGGTCAAAATGTAAAGCAAACAACTCATGCCTTTGAATACAGAAACAATATTTACAAGTTCCAGTCAACGGCATATGGTAAACGAGTGTTGACACGAATGCAAACGTGATAAATTCCATGATCGCAAAAGACTAATCATTTAATTGAAAGGAGGGAAAATGTAATAGGATTATAAGATACAAATCCGTGGTGGTATCAACAATTATAAACCACTAATCGTTTATTCAAGATATATGTAGAGACAAAAGTTACCTATGATCAAGTTTCATAACAGTGTAACATGTCATTTAAAAATCACATTTCAGCACTAATTCAGTCCAAAATTGATTCTACTTTAGTGACTATACTTCTGACACGTTATATATATATATATATATTCGCTGTGTGAGAATGGAAATTATTGTCACGAGATTTTTAAATATAATTTCCACATAACACGCGTCCTACAAAACCCATTGTAATTGTTGACTGGCAATGTTACTCAACCGAAACATAAGCACAATATTCCTCTAACATGACATGATATAGGAAACACTATATACCAAATTTGATTTGGCCATAATAGCAAGTAAACTAACACGTAGAAAGTGCATACTTTTTGACGGTTTTCGTAGCGTAATCCAATTTCTAATTGACCAATCATTTTATTTATTTATAATAATGATTACTCACTAAAAGTTGAACCAACGTATACAGAAAATCCGAATGCACATGCATAAAAAGTACGTTTTCGATGGGTGAACTTCGTCGATGTCGCAATTTCATTAACTTCAGCAGCGCTCATACTTGTGAAGTTGATTGCAGATTTGGTGAATTAATTTAAATAACAAGCCCTTATTCAACAAACCCTGAATTGATTTGCTGATATCCTTTTTACTTAAAATGTAGAATCGTTTCTGGCAGAAAGTTATTTTTTGCATTTTATGTATTTTATTGAGTATAAATTTAAATTTAGTGGCAATACTTTCTTTTTGTGGGGAAAGACTGACATCACCCATCATCTGACGTTAAAGTGCGCTACTATACACAGTATACACTAGTTTTACAATGGATGTATGTGTGAATGGCTAGATTGCAGTAATTCCTCTCTAAAATACAAAGTATTAGAGTAGAAGCTCAACACTACCTGTTATATACAATCGAATTGGGGAAAAGCTAGAGATCATAGACCTAGTTTTCCATGATAGGAACAATATTGTTTGGTTACCTTCATAAACTAACTGGTTCTCAACAATCGTCGCCACATAGCTTCACTGGATAATAAACGTTATGTTCTCAGTAATATAAATATATAAAGCTGAATCGGCGTGATAGTCTGCCTTTTTCTCAATTATTTGGCGACAGCAGATTATTTTTTTTATACTGAAATCGCCATGCTGGCGGGCATCACTGATTGCCGAAATGATGATCATAATGTTTCATTCCAAACAAATAGCGAGTTTCACCTTTGGACAGGCTGATGGCAACATTTACAAGGAAATTACAACGCAGCAATTTCAGTTGCATTAATATTCATACGCTGTCTTGAGGTTTTCGATGATGATGCGACCGCTCCGGGCAGCACATTGTAAGAAGGCAGCAGAACCAAGCTGTAGAGTTTATTACACATGCTCTTCTAGATGTGTTCTTATTTAATTGAAAGCCAACAGTATGTGTTCCGTGGTGATGGTTATTCAACAAGGGTTGTTTCAATTTTCGACTTAGTTGATGAGATATTGGCGACAGAAGTGAAAATTTATCAATAATCGGCGTCTTCTTTCGCTGTTGCCATGAAAACGAAGCTTCAATACCGATCTTCGATGGAACGCACATAACCAAGGTATCAAGCCAACTTACGTGTAAAATTCTGTACAAATTGGCCCAGCCGTTTAGAGTTTAGACCAGTGGTTCTCAAACTTTTTTAGTCCCAGAGCCGCATTTCAAACCTCAAAGGTATGAAGAGCCGCATACAAACAACGCAAGGTAAAATAGCAACAAACCTTGAGCGCGTAATTAAAATACTAAGTCATCGTAACAACAACACACGTAACAACTAGGGCTAAGCAAAATTTTTGAATAATAAAATATTCGAATGGCATTTTACGATTCGAATATCCGGTACCACGTGACCTGCGCCGCTCTGCTTGGACACCGAACTCGAGCGTCTCCAACTCAATCGTGAATTGTCCGAGATTTCCCAACGGCGCTCGCTATCAGAATAAAAAAGAAAAATTTGGAAAGCCGTCTTTGCGTTATGGTGTTATATGCTTATTTTTGCACTTAACGTATCCTTTCAATTCATCATTTTGCAAAAAAACACGTACCGACCGTTCCGTAAATTTAGAAACGTCAAACCAGATTAGGTATTTAAAATAAATTTCCTAGATTTACACTCGGCATGCTTGGTGACATGTCATTAGCTATTTCTTGCATTACCGAACATAAAGTTGCTTAAAATTAAATGTTGAAATGACTTTTCGGCGTTTCATTGTGAAAAAGGCGATTTTAGGTCGTTAAAACACTCTAGTTATGTAAATAGCATGAATTTAAAAATGACCAAAAGTTTTTTCAAAAGCTGGTATGAGTTACTTGTATGGAAAACACTCATTAAGTTGTAACCAGATAAGAAATGCCATGTCCCACTTCCTTTAAAGCACTTTGTATTAGTCATCTTCAAGTTTATTTTTTCCCATTCAGTAAAAAATAACATAGGAAATTAACAAAATACAAAACTAAAAACACATTTTTACTGGGGAAGGGAAGTCGCGGGGAACCAGGGGAATGGTTATCGAGCAGCGACACCGAAGAGGCTCTTTAGTGATCCCTTCCATCCTTTGCCAAGTACTGTTTCGAATATGTAAACATTTTACTCGACCCTGCATGGCCGTTGAGCCAAGAGTAGAACGTAAAATCAATCGTGAATTTCGTTGTAACAATGCACACTGACTCGTTCACGAATTATTGCGTCTATTATCATCAAAAATGATTACAATTGTTAAATTTTGAGGCATTTGGGCAGTAATAATTAAGCCTCAAGGCATGACATAATCAAAATCATTAAGTGAAGTGCTGAATTTGCAAATTCCGTGAAGAAAATTGAGCATTACTCAGTACGTATTTTAGCTATAATAACCATCGGGCTGTTGTATACTTAGAGTCTGACCCTCTATTAGGCACAAAGGCCTAGAAATGCTTTTATTGCCAATTTATTTAATCGCTATTTTAAATCAACATTCAGGATTCATACAATCGTAAATTTGCTAGGTTTATCTATCTAATACTAAAATAACACGGACACCATAGAAAAGCATGAGAAACTCAAATATCATTATAATAAATATCTGCATCTCGGTTACCGTTCACTTTAAATTAACATGCACGGTTAATTTACAAGCGGTGATAAGGAAGATCGAATCCAAGGCAGAGGATAAAACTCAGAATAGAATTAATTTGGTTTTGAAATCAGTCCTTAAATGTATTCAACAGCTGTCGCTGATGTGAACGCAAGGGTATACTAGAAATATGAAATTTCGATATTCGGCGACCGCTAATTCTTGCACAAACAAGAAAGGGCGGAAATATAGAATACCAACTTTAGGATATCGCCGCCAAAACGATCGCGGTGACAAAGACAATCAGCAATTATGACGAAATTAACCATTAAAAAACGCTTTATTGTCGACTTTTTAATGTTTCTATTAATTTCCAAATGAAGTATCGACCTCCGACGTTCTGGATCCCTGTTATGTATAAAAAAAAATATTCAAATTATTCGATTCGAAAAAAGATTCAATTTTGCCCACCCTAGACTAACAGCTATTTAATTAGGCTTTGATTTCTAATAAGTTTGTAAAAGTGGGTAGTAATCGTTAGGGATGCAAGGTGCAGTAGCTGCTTGAGATGGTCGACAGATTTTTCGGGACTATTCTCGATTACTGGGACAAAATTAAAATGCTATAGAAATTAAAATAATCATCGAGTTATTTGATTTATACATAAGATCTGGAAATGCGACAAAAACTGAAAATCCACAAAAGCAAGCCAATGATTACAGCCATGTCTAAAAATCTTTCCAAGTGCAAAGTGTCCGATTGGCCGCGAAAACGCTCACTGTTGCGTCACTATTGCATCTTATATGTTAGTCAACGCTACGCAAATAAACACGGGGGAATCCATTCGACTAACTAATATACTTCAGCATTTTAATTTCGAGTCAATGATTAGTTTTCAATGAAAAATTTTCTTTGAAAATAATTAATTTTTAAAACATTAACGGGAGCCACAGGAAAGGTTGTTGAGAGGCGCATGCGGCTCTCAAACCCTAGTTTGAGAATCACTGGTTTAGACGCTACAGCTTGGACACGCAGACAGACAAACAGACACACAAGCCGGTAGACGCCGAGTATGGATCTCCACCATTGCTTGAGGGCCGCGCAATTTCAGTTTAATAATGAGTAATATGGACTAGGGAGACGCGTTTGTACCAAGAAAATTGTACCAAAATTGCCTCAGTTCATTTGAACGCTGAGTGTCTCATTGGTGTCTACGGACGAAAGTTATGCTGTGGCTAATAACATGTACACTAAATATCCTAAGGTTTCCTTGGTTTATGTACTATCGAGCTGAAAGACCGCGGGTTCGAAAAAGTGTTGTTTCATTGTGCGGAGGGTAGCATTTATGGAATTTTAATATTCAACTTGATTGGCGAGAATTTATGAGAAGATGGGAATATTTTCAACGATCGGCACGTTTTTTTGCCGATTCCTGACAGAATGGAAATCAGTCGCGAAACTCCTAATATAGTACAACTACACTATGATAAAGTCATATTTTTTCCAGTGAGTTTCCTTTTTTGTTTTTGGAAAAAGTAGGTCAAAAAGTGGGAAGTGTATTGGAATTAATGAATAACGGCAATGTCATTATGTGTAAGTTTTCCTGTTTGGGAATTAAGGATATCTCGATTCAAAACAAAATTTTGGTTAAATTCCTTGTTCCAGTGGATGAAAAATATTTACATTTGCAAGCTTCAATTGCAAACATCAATAGACATGATACGCTAGTCCGGGCAAGATTTGCTTTCACGTTGCATGGAAAATAGTTTTTGGTAAGGCGATTAATCAATTTAAATGTAAATATTGCCAGCTAATATTTTTTCTTATTTTATTTATTCACTCATTCATGTATGAAGTAGACGGATTATGATGCGAATGCATCAAAACGAATCGTTCACAATAAACTGCATGCATTTGTATACGATTAAACATTTAACTATTGACGACGGTTCTATTTACCTAATTTTAAACAAGTTTAGAAAATATGTTGTCTTACAATTTAAAGTGATATAGTCAGTGCTATTTTACGACTGTATTATGGTGAGTTTTGTGAGAATATTAAATCTATAAACGAGCAAGCTTATAAATATTTCACTTGATGAGTGGTAAATTGCATTCACTCTGCACTCTAAGCAAAGGAGTTGCCTAGAAATATACATATCTATATCCTATTATCAGGATTATATTTAAAGGTATTCTCACTATGAATTTAAATAAAAGTCAAACATGTCAGGACATGAAATAGAAGATCAATGCGTGGAATATTTCCCCTGAAGTTACAAATTAAATACAGGTATATATTAGAGTGAGACTGGGATTCAAGTATGCAGCTGCTGGACACGCAGCGAATGACCGTGAAAATGCAGGTCAAATTTGATAAGTTTGTTGAAGGTGTTTTTGAAATATGAATAAAGTACATGAATTTTTTCAAAGTAACGTTTCCCAACCGAGAAAATCTCTCCTTGGAGTCAAGGGCAGAATTTTGCTTATTAATTGCTGTAGTACAACTACTAATATTTTTTATCAAGATTACTATAAACGCGAGCCATTGAGGACTAAAAAATAAACTGATTCTTATGCGTGAGGGAGGAATATAAAGTTTTGATATAGTCAAAGGGAGGAATTTAACGAACACGGTTGGAACCCAGTGATGTCTAAAGCTTTATGGTTTTATCGGTGTCATATTTTTGAAACGCTAGAACATCTAGTTGGATTTAGCGACTGTGTCGATAAAGTGAATTTAGAAATCACCTCAGTTTCCAATTATCAGTTGTTTAACGTTACTGTGCATCATAGAAAATTTAAAATGGCACAAATCAAATTTAACAGATTCGTTATATGTTGTTTCGTACGTAAGAAGCTATATTTTGGTTATGGCGGTTTTGGTACATTTCAGTGGCTTGGCTCGTTGATTGCTTATGTGGACTAAGCTGCATATTATATTAGACTTAAATTAAACAAGTTTTATGTGAATTGAAGTTGTCAGGAATTTTATAAATCTGATATCTGAGTATATATCTTCATTATACCCTGTGTTGCTTGCAAGTTTTCATTTTCAACAGTGTGTGCAATAAAATTTTCATCGGTAATTTGATAAATCAATTTTGCGTAACTCATTCGATATGACTGGCGGCATTTTTCTAAATTGTTTTGAGGAAATTATTATTCGCAGTATCGCATTTGCTTTAATTACAGTATCTATGGTTTGATACGTGATTCGTTCAATTTAAATCTCACAATCTGGCACGTACAAGTAAATATTTCGGATATATTCGTCCTTTTCCAGACAAATTTCTGCGTATCGTTATCCGACAAGTTGTATACTTTGGTATGTATATATATATATATATTGGGGAAACGGAACTAAGAAAAACGAAGATGGCAAATATTTTATCGTCAACATTGATTGTAGCAAAAATACTTAACAGACATTTTTGAATTCTGTTCACCATCCTTTTAACAAATATTTCTTGAAAAGCAATTGTAATCTTATGAGAAGTATTTCAGTATTTAATTAAAGGAACAGAAATCTTACGCAATCTGCTGAAAATCAAGTTATATAAGTTTCCAGGGTTCAACAAACATATTGTCACAAAATTGAATACGGATTACCCTCAAAATTTCTAACTAATTAGAGTTGAATGAAAAGCATTTTCAAATGTACTCCGTATGTTAAATGAGCGTTGAAAATAAGGCAAACTTAGTAACATTCATGATATGTAATCACAAACTCAAACTATATCATGTAACTAACTATTTTGTACAAAATTTACAAGATTTTAATTTTGTTTGTAATTTTGTTTGTCTGGCTTAATCCGATAATTAACTCCCATTTAGCTCAAAGGCCGGAATTCCTCCCCAGAAATGAATTGTGAAAAACTTGGGGTGGAACTCTGCTTAGTATTTGCTACAATAAAACCTTTGATATTCTTCAGTAGAACTACTATTATTGCTATAATTCTTATTCCTATATATGCAAAATAAACTACTTGAACTGTCTGAAAACAGTTCAGCGAGAGAGAAATAAAGAGCTAAAAGGGGAATTCAGCTAAAAAGGTTAGAGACGACTGATATAGATGATAAATTGTAAATGAGAGAGAACTATCTTGTTCAATAAAAGAAAATACTCACTGAAAGTTGAACCGACGTATGCGGCAAATCCAAATGAGCATGTGTAGAAAGTACGTTTTTGATGTCTCAACTTCGCCGACGTCGTGTTTTCATTTTTATTTCCGGTAATACTCATATTGTAATTGATATCGACACTTTTAATGAATGGCAGATGATGTAATTCTAGTTGATAAGCTTCAATATGAATTTCTTATGTATTATGATGCAACGCAAAATACTTGTCAGACTTGACGAAAAAATAAATTTGTCTTGTCTCATTCTGATTTACATTTATGGTATAGAGATCATTTAGAACATTAAAGTGCTGAATATTTTAACAATCACGAATAGCCACGGTAAGGCGACATAGTCAAGTACAAAAAGTACGCAAATGTTAAATTGAAATTTAAGAAACTTTTGTGCGGTATACTGAAGAGAGATTTTTCCTAGAAGAAAATCGTCCAAATACAACGTTTTATCATTCTACAGTAATGAATGTCTGATCTTGCAATTCTTTTTTCAAATAACATCACAGCATAACGAATGTTCACGGTCCGGCTTTGAGACTTGTATAGGCAACTCTGACTGATGTATGGGTGTGCACCAAAATTTTTGATAATTTTCTATCAGCTCGTTCTACGTTATAGGTACATACCTTGCTGCACGTGAAAAGTAAATTCCAGATGTAGATCTTCATCTTCAAGGGAGAAAATATGAAACTACGCTGTGAGGTATTCAGAATAATATATTTTGTTGCTAATTTTTTACGATCGACATTTATTTTTGTAAGATTACTACTACATTCACTACTACATCAGCTTAGCAGTGACGATTTATTACATGAGTAACCTCAACTTATTATTCACCAAATATGAGAAAAGAGAAATATAACATTTACTTAATAAACTAAAACTCACGCTTCATATTCGAACCGCTCAAAGTGCAAATGAAGAGATCGTCATGGCAGTTGCACGAAAGTTTATATTTTCAACCGTCTGAGCTGAGATCAGGAAAACGGAAGTCTCAGCGTCGATAAAGTTGGGATTGTAAGGTAAATTGTAACAATGCTTTCTTGAGTGTTTGAGACATTCTGGATACATGATGTACAAAAATTCACATTTCATATATTTGCTCACATGTTGTTCACAATCTAAATGTTAAATAAAGAGCATATACACTTAATGAATGATTTTATTTCAAAATTCGATTGAATGTTTTTGATTCAAGGCCCCGAGAATTTAACGTAAAGTGGAGTGAGTATAGCATATTTCCATTGACACATTAATATTTAGATCCAAGTGTACAAACTCCGTTAAAATATCTATCAATAGCAGAATATATTTGTGCCCAAACATTTTTGTAAATCATGAGTTTTATCGTAGAAAAACTTTCGATGATCAGAATCAAATGTGACAGGATTATTACATGCAATGGCTAATCATTGATTTGTACGGATTTGCACTAAATGATCATGGCAAATGATTCGATATTATCTGTAATATTAAAAATCAACAAAAGATTCAGCGATTTAAAATGTCTCCACAATTTATAAAACCGAACAATATCAGCACATTTACATAATTCGGGACAAGAGGATTCGGAATTCAGTTCATTTGGCATCTCTGTATCACGATTCCAAAGACTATAGGCTAGACTGAGGCTTTACCCGATCCGACAATAATAAAGGAACTCATTAATCCCTGCAATGCTCGATGCATATTCGAAAATGTATAGTTGCTTAGTATATCTCGATTGATTGCATTAAATGAGTCCCAATCTATACGAGGTCAAAACTTTTGAGTTGAACAACCGACTGAATCGGAATTGACAAGTGAGACTTATTATGCTGGAGACCAAAGATTTCGGAATGTCGATATTGGGCAGGCATTGTGTTCGGTATATTATGATACGCAATACTATTCCTCAATATACTCCGTTTTCGTATTCAAAGTGCAATATTGAAAATCTTCTTTTATGATCGAACTCAAATCGAATCTTTATATTCTGACATTGAGGTTTGATGTTTACGCTATAAGATCAATCGCATTCATATGAACATCCATTGTCCCAAACACGTTTGCATAAATGCTGATTCTTATTCGAAAATAAGAATAGAATACATCAAATGTCGGTTAAAATGAAATTAACATCAACCTCTTTTCAAGATCACAAAAAAAACATACTGATAAAAATGTTTATCTCATTTGAAATTGACTATACCTGTTTACTAAGATAGTAAGTCACAGTTTAGTTGATTTTTACTTTCGTATGCGTTAAACGTATACGGAATGATGATTAGTGCCTACAGGTAGATTAATAAATCAGCCGTCATATCAATATCAAAGCCGCGCTTGATCGAGTACTGCAACGACAACATACGTTCAAGCTTGAGTAATCAAGTATTCTGTTCGCCACGTTAGTATTTAATTTTTTCGTAGAGATGTAATAATCCCTCCCTCAGTATGCATTGAGGGCCAGTCTTTGCAAGGTTGATATCGTGCTGCAACCATATCGTTTGTTTCTAAGGCCCCTTAAATACCTACCTGTGATATTGTCAGATTAGTCTCTTCAATTAGTTTACATCTTGAGAAAATTGTTTTCTATACCCTGATATAATAACCTTCGGACAGTTACACGGCGTAATAAAAGGTTAAAATATTATTAACCAAAAACGAATTTAAGAACTGATAATAGATAATAACAATACTGCATTCATCGATCTGTGTAGAGCAGCGTCGGAAATATAATCCGAGAAGGTAACCATCAATAAAGATACGTATATAGTCGATATTAATACTCGTAGGAATGGGCCGTGATTCGGATCAAGGCGCGGATTCGAGACGAATCCATGCATTTTCAAGAGTCGGACTCGATATCGAATCCTCGCCATTTTTGCCATTTTCATGACTTAGTACAACAATATCTAGTTGAAATCATGTAATCGTCAAAAACGTCTTTTTCTATTTTGATTATGACGTTTCATTTTGATTATGACTCGGAATATTCGACCCGATTCCATGACCACTTATTACTTGGATTCGCCGAATCCGACAAATGCGGCACTCGTCTCATCCCGCACTTCAAACCAGTATCTTCTGTGCGGGTTGTAATCAATCACTATATGTCACGATTCTTCCGGCACAAAACATGTGAAGAAAACACAAATCATCTGCAGGAAGAGGGAGAAAATCTTGAACGATCCATCTCAATTTCGTCTGGTTGGCCTCATCAAGGATTTAATTCGATCTCATTACCTTTTTCGTCGATATCTGTCACGTGAGTGCGTACTTGTGCAAATTACTAATACGGCCATGACCTGAGCATTGCTGCATGTCATATATGGGCTGGTGCTCATGTGATTGTATCAAACGTGCTTGACCGAATACGAAAAAGAATATTGAATATGATCGGCGTCTATATATTGAAGACACTTGCCCGTCGACGACAGGTCGGGATAGGGCGTGTATATAGGGCGTCGAGGTCCCTATTTACGACCTTTATAATGAACTGCTTGTTCTTCTGAACTTTTTGAATTTGTTCATTTGAATTTTTTTATAACCGTCAAAGTCCATTGCTTGCTGTGTTTTCCCAGTCAGATACTGTCATTGAACCTACAATACAAAAACACTGTATGCTCAATTGTATTTAATTCAAGATTTTTATGTGCAATCCGCTACTAGCTGATTTCTGATCGTTTTGATTTGAACTGGATACACTGTCGCACAATTCCACGCTGTAATTCTTTCTGGACCACTCGACTTTATAGACATAATATCAGTACTTTCCCTGCTCAAGCCGTTGAACAAGCGAACAAATTAATTATTGAATTCAAAACACGCCTGGCCATGTGTAAATTTTATAATATCATTAGCAGAAGATAACGAATGATTTTGGTACCACTTATCATTATCAAAATAAAAAATTATATAAAGGCCTTGAAAAAGATTTAATTTAGAGGTACATGCACGTACATAAGGCGATAGCTAAATCGTTTACACTGTAAAATGGCTGTATTAGTTCAACAAGATACCAAGAACACGAGACATAAGTCCAAGAACATTGCTTTTTCAAATACATAAATATGAATAGCGCAGATATTTCAGTAAACCTGCCCAAGAATGAGACGCTAACTGTAGTGCATTCTGTCATTAGTTCCTTATACACAAGCACCAAGTTTCCATTGTAACACGTAGTACTCGTATTGCAGGTAGATTATTGAAATTAATGAAGTGCAAACTTGCTTGGACCTTGTATCCGTGTTTCAGTTTTATATATCTTGCAATTTCCTCGTAGTAGACTCAGCGACATAGCAGCAGACTTACCAACGTAATTCATTTCTCGTTTATTTAGTCATAAAAACATCGTATCTTATATGGTATTCAAGCATAAGTTGATAGCAAATAAGTTATCGTCTTGAATAATGAGCTGCTGAACAATGGTCGCGGTGATCAATTTCCTTAAGTTTAACATTTTATTTAGGATATTAGAAATTGATGTCATGTTTGTCGTTAGCTAAGTAAAATTATATAATTTCCCAAATGATTCAAAAAGCACAACATTATATTGACTATGGACAACAGTTATGCAGCGCTGCCAACGTTCAAATAGAAACCTTACCACAAATCACAAGGCGCCATATGTTTAAGAGCAAGGGGCTGTTTTATGCGAATGTTTTGGCAGAAATGTGAAATGTCATTCTGTTATAGCAAGCCCTCCATATATTGAATAATAATAACCAACAATTTTGTTTAGTGAATATTTTAGGCAACATTTGAATTTGAAGCTTAGCAAAAATAACGTGCTTGATCTATGCCTGCAATGGAAACGCTAGAAGAGAAACATTTTACGAATGTTTGGTTATATATATTCAAAATATTATATTTTTGCAATCCTACATAATAAGTGTATTCAACTGGTGTAAATGTTTTTAAACATGACTGCTGAGCTGGTTCAATTTAAATTGTTTAATTTATTTAGTTTAAGTGTTTGTGTTAATCTAATTAACGTTTTGCAACACGTTTTATAACATTATTCCTTGAAATTGTAAACGTAAAAGCACACAGATATAATTTTGGGGAAATTTAATATTATGACAGAATGTTTAATTTTGTTTGTACGTTGAATTGGAAATGCCCGAAATAATATTTAATGATAAGTATTGATTTAATGACACATCCACGCCTGCATTTCACCGATTAACTCGAGGTCGCGCAATGAAATGTGTCGGAATATTTTATGCTGTCGGGTTTTTATTTGTCTGCTATTGATTAGGTTTTTTGCTTCATACTTGGCACAGCGTCATGGAGTCCACTCCTTTCCCGTTAATACGAACCGTTCTCCACAAGTATTAACCATTTTGACCAGGAATTTTACTGGCTGATTGGAGAAAACTCAACATTTTTAAACGTAAGAAGCTATACTTGAAATTGTTTTGACAATTGAATTGATTGACAATTTGGATACATTAACTTAGAATTGTATGATACACTGAGTTCATGCACTGGTTTCGAGCTTAGTGTGTATCAGTGCGAATATAATATCTGAATGCAAAAAGCATTCGTTGAACGAAAATTTCTTCCGATGGAAATGACAACAATTACTTCCACCATTATCGTTATTCACGGGCTGTTGTATAGTTTCAAATACTACCTAAGAATTGGTAATAAACTTTACCAATCTAATTATACCTTGTTTAGCTAATATGGGCAACTGATTTATATTCTTATCTATCGCACAGATATATTTTTCCCTTTTGCAAATTAAAATTTGGTATGAATAATGGTAGAAATGTTTGAAACTTTTTTTCGGAAGAATATATTTCTACTTCCTGTACAATCAATAAGACTCAAAATTGGAATCATCCCATTGCTATTTTATTGGTGATATTCTAAGGAATGTACTAAATATATTGCATTTCTGCTAATGTTCTCTTTATTTATTGTATATATAAACATTTCTAGATCTTTGGTGTACAAGACAACGTTTTCTGATTCATTATATTCATATAATGCAGTGGTGAATTTAATTTATACATCGATGAAATGGATTGCATATTAATGTCAGTTAAAATAGTTATAGAGAAATGTTGTTATTAGAAACCTATCCTTATCCCATTCAAACAAATTATAAATATTCTGAGAATTTTTCTCATTCGAAATACACCTTTTTACAATCGAAACTCAAGCAAGACTTGTGGATTATTTAGTCTGCAAGTATTTAATTTTGATTGTTACCAAAATAACTTTTATGACGCATATCTGTCTCGTTTGTCTTATTTATGAATAAAATTCATAAAGTACGAGTAACAAGTTTAGTTAGAACTTGTAACCTGAAATACCGATTCATTCAGGGAAATTTCTACGACCTTTTCTATTAATAATGAGAAATATTTGCGGATATAAAAGTATGCGACTGGTACGCCTCGCGTCATACATATTTCGACAGGCCGTACATTCAAAATTCCAGAGAAATATTAAAGAGTTGAAGAGAATTGTGTTCAACAAACTATTGAAGCGAACCTGGATTGTATCCGAAATCAAGTGGCTTTAAATTCACTGTCCAGTTGGAAAAGAATTCAACTAACAAATCCGATTTCAAAACCATGTCTGCTACAGCAAGTACAAAAGAAAGTCGCGAAGAAATATATGAACAAATTGAACCAAGATCAAGACGGAAGAAACTAAGAACATTTTATGATAATTGGGCGCAAAGTTACGACTGGGACATGCTGGATATGGGATACAGGTACAGGTTTTGAATACATAGTTTAATATTTAAAAGCAAAGTTGAAGCCTGGCATATTAGCCCAACAAGCTGTTATATTGATTGTACTCTCAGTACATTTAAGCACTGCTCTCTCGCTTGAGGTGTACTGCGACGTAAGAGTAATACGAGTAATTCACGTGAATAGCACTGCTTTTAATTAAAACTGTATATTGATTAAATTTTAAAATACATTGACCCGTTGTTCTGGTAGCAATTTTTTTGTCACTGTAACTTTTGTATATCCTGCATGATATTTTTTAGTTTATTGAGGCGGAGGTGGGTATTTTAGAATAGGTTGATTACGAATTACGATTCTATCTTATTTTGATTATTCGCCACATTTGAACAGAAGCCAAATACAACACATGGTTAACTTATTTACTTCATTTTCTAGTCTTCACTGTACTGCATCAATTCTTCTAATGGAAAGGTTATCCACGGCATATCAAGAAAATTGTGTTATTATTGATGTCGGCTGCGGAACAGGTCTTGTCGGATCAGTTTTACGAAAGAAAGGATATTGCGGAATTCTGCATGGTGTCGACGAAAATAAGAACATGTTGAACGTTGCAAATAGAAAGAACGCTTATAACGATTTATATTTACAATATATGTCTCCAACTGATCCAATCAGTGTTGAAATTTTATATGATGCGTTTGTATGCGTGGCTGCTTTTGGTCTTGAACATATTCATCCGCTTCTGTTACCTCACATGGTGGATCACGTTAAGCCTGGCGGTGTTATGGTGTTTTCTGTAGCCAACCACATTTTGGGAGCGGATAGAAGATTGCTCGAATCCGAAATAAACAAACTAGTAGACTCTAAAGTAATTCGAAAAATCAGTGCCACTGATGAATTTTATTTTAAAGATGGCCGAGAATCCAGAGATACAGACAAAATCGCAACTTGTAGACTTTACTGCTACGTAAAATCTAAACGTAAAAATGCCAAAACAAAAGCAGGTTCCGACTCCGAAAGTTCTGAATCACCTAGTTCAGGAGCAGAATAAACACTGATTTTTTGATATATGAGTAAACCTGTTCCAATTTCTGCCTCAATTCAAAAAAATAACACATTTATGACATCCAGCAATGAAACTGTGGAGTTGTGTATTCTGTTCTGGTTTTTATTATCTGGTTGTAGTTTTACACATATTTTTACAAACAGATTCTGAAATTTTATGCGCAAAAATTGATTTTCGTTTAACGCTGATCATAATATTGATAAACTCTAAAATATATTTAATGAATAGTTATATATTTAATTCTTTATGATATATATGTTTTATTTTTTGCACGAATGGTTCGTCGATGCATTACCGTCTGTATAATGTAATATGTTATATTTTCTAGCTGTATAAATTGTGAAAAGCATTGATATTCCCTGCTGAGCCTAATTTTCTATACCAAGTGGGAAAACATTATGTATAAATTTTCAGTTTATTAATATGAATTCCACTGTGCACAATCTAATAATAAAATACTGATACTGAAATATTGAATGTTATTTGTAGATCAATTAGAAATTCTCGCCTCAATTTACTGTTGCAAAATTAATCTAAACGAAATGCATTAACAATATTGTATGCTAATCCTGTCTGACCGAAAACGGACGACTCTAGATTATCCATACGTGAAATAAATCCGTGCTTATATTTCAGATATATAGCATTCTTTTACACACTTATAAAGTTATTTGCATGCTGCACGATGTTTAAATAATAATTACCTCATTTCTAAAATATATTATTCAAATTTTCAAACTAAATGCAAATTGTAATGTACCTATTATTGGAAAGGGTCATTTCGGCAGTTGTCTAAAAGAGTTTTACCTACACATTTCACCAACCATTTAGTTGGCAAGAAAAGCGTAAATTTGGTAATGCAACACCGTTTCATTCAGTACGTAAAATTAATACGAACAATTAGACGTTTCTTATTGACTTGCAGATGACAAAATTGTATACCGGTAATATCTTATTATAAGACACCGTCGATCCAAGATATCAAACTACTCAGTTAAACACTTTTTGACGGAAAGTTTGCTCGGATATGTCCTTTTGGTTTGATGCATTGAGTGGCATTTCTTGCTCTTTGTCAACATATTGTCCCAGCGGAATTATTTTTTGTAATCATCGTTGTAAATGTTACCAAACCAAACTTTATATAACGTTGTCGTAAATAGGAAATTATGCAATAATTCAATAAATGTTTTGCAAAATGTAATATACCATATTTTTCCCTGTATTATACGCACTTTCGGTTCCGGATTTCATCTCCAAAATTAGGGAGTGCGTATTATACATTGGTATAGAAAATTTCCAAATAAATCCTGATCGATATTTTACACACAATTGCCAAATACACATGTTTCCTTTCCGTCTTATTCCAATTAATTTTATGTGACAAAGTCCGTAATAACCAGATCATGATTGTTGCGGTAGAATCACACCCACGGAATGGACTATCTCAGTGGTTCCCAAACTAGGGTCCGCGAACTATTTGGGGTCCGTGAAGCAATTTCGGAGGGTCCGCGAGACAAATCTGTAATATGGCTAATAGCTTGATAATACAAAAAGGAAGTCCTTAAATTTTCAAATACACATTTGTCGGCTTTTGCTGCTTCGCAATCACTGCTGGAGACACTGATGCTTCACTTTCTGTTTCGATTGCGCTGCCCCATTGTTATGTCACAGAGCTTTGGCCTGTGATATCACAGAGAGAGTTCAATTCATGCCACCACAAGTTTACAATTTGCAAATCTGTAGCTGAAGCTGTCCTTTTGCACGTTTACCAAATATTGAAATAGACTTTTGTTCGTTTCACCATACGGCGCATTGATTTTTTTTGTGATCCTTTAATGTTTTGTTTTAGTGTACAAGGCCGGGAATAATTAAAAAAATTGCAAGGGGTCCGTCATGCAATTTTTTTCAAAAAGTTTGGGAACCACTGGACTATCTTGTCTAACAAAGGACAACGCATCTATTTCGATAACCAGTGTATATAAGTGATAAGAACGTCACTTTAATTCGATAGATTGATTGTTGTTGTCGTCCCTCATTTCCTATTTTGACGGATCGGCAAAAATGAATGTTCCAAATCATTTTTTTCTCACTCTAGTTTTTTCTCACGATAATTCAAAGCCGTGTAACAGCACTCCGAGATTGACAGACACAGACCTGTCGACGTCATAAACACTTGAAACATAATAATAAATCACAGAGAAACTTGCTAGGCTGGCTTCTCGAAAATACCAAATGCGGTCGACGCAAGTGACCGAAGTCGACCGTGCGTACAATGCATGGACCTTGGTATTTTCATACAATCCACATCCTAAAAGGGCCCTGCGTATTATACACGGAGAAATACGGCAACCTGTAACCTGTAATAAATATATATATAGTAGTTCACTGGAAAAACCTGCGTCACGTCCAATGCCTGAAATTGTAAAATCATTGCGATCGAACATCAGTTTCTTGGAAATAGGTATTAAGCGAGTGAACCGGGAAGAGTCCAGCGTCGAATCTGCGCGCTTCTCGAGCGCGCCCAGTTGTGACGTACGGAGGTCTTAAAAAGCTAAATCAAGATACGAGCAATGCAACCGAATAGAACATTTTCAAGGTAACGGTAAGCGTGTTAACCTAACAGACCAAGAATAGATTATATCGTTATAATATTGTGGTGGGTTTTATTATGGGTCTATGCTATCACCTAGATTCAATTTGTACCCCATACCACATCCATTGTTATGATCGAATTTTTCATTGAGAAAACTGAATTCAAATTAAATTGCCTTTTAGCTATTCAAATGCCATACTGATAAAAATACCAGATCTTTATTTAATTAGTATTGCAATTCCCACAATCTTCGCCACATGCGAAATCCACGAGCATTCAGTAACTGTATAACGTCTTAAACATAACTCAATAACATTAGACTTGTCATGTCATTATGTATAACTGTTTTGCGGTCCAATTGAATATGAATACAAAATTACCAACTTGGTTGTGACGAAAAAAAGGTTTAAAACGTGGGTCTGCGTAGAATGTGGTGATATGTCCACTAGAACTGGTAAGATAATTACGACTAGTTTTGATGGTAAAACATTCATATGCTTAGAAACTCGCTGTAATCGATGCTACGTGTTTGGTTGCATGGCTATGGCGCCATAATATGTTACAGCGGATGTGACTTGCTCAAATATATGGAACGAATAAATAAATACTGACAAGATGATCAACAACAACTTAATAATAACGAAGCGATACATATGTATACCTTGTGTCCAATTACAAACTTACGTTACTGTTCTGTGGCATTACACTTGCAGAGCTTGCCCTCTAAAATCATTATAGCTTCTGAATAAAAACATATATTGCTATATTGAAATATAGTGCGTTTAGGATAGATTTACAGGAACTCACATTATCAGTTGTAAATTTTACTTCCTGCGTTCAACGTGACGAAGTCTACTCTGTGTACAGGAAGAAATGAGCGCACAATTATATTAGGATAATTGGGTTGATTTTCAGTGTAATTAGTGTAAATTTCAGATTTGTCAAGTGCAACGTTATGTTACAGGTTGCCTTTGTTTTGCGAACTGTAGTGACTTCTCCCACCTTTTATCAAGAGTTTTAGCCACGTGATAACCTGATGCGCATCGGATAGAACGTGACATCAATCGCGTGCAGAGCATCGTATCCAAATTGAGACTGTATGATTGAACATGCACGTACCTCGGAATGTCTGCTAGCTGTGCTTACATCTGTGTATTATATGGTTCCATTACATTTGAACCCACGTACATTTGAACCCATGACAATTGCACCTGTATGCTATTGCACCTATGGAATTTTTTTTGTTTCACGGATAGTTAAACCCATACTAACCCTAACCCATGGGTTTTAGCACCCGCATATAGATTGAACCCGTGGATATACGCATGGGTTCAAATGTACATGGGTTCAAATGTACGGTCACCGTATTATATATCTTTCATCTATGTATGTATGTTCTATAGATGCTATTTACCATACTTATGGTCTCGATTTCAAGGCAGTTCTAAAGATAATGCCATGGGATATATTCAAGGATCACCTAATATAAAATATTAGCTTTGATTTTAAGATCGTGAATTCATTTCAGTTCAGGTACTTCGCAGAAAGATACAAAAAGGCGAAAGTTGACAAAAGGTTCCACCAGGAAATTTGAGAGTTTGTCAATTGTTTTCCAATTTATGTGCAAAATATTATAAAAATATCCAAGCTTGGTCTTTCTGCCGGCGGATCAACGTCGCTGATAGGATTGTAAATAATCTTTACCTAGTCCTAGTCATATAATTGAACAGGATCTTTGATTTTGATTTTGTTCATGAGCGAGACATTCCCGTAAATCATGTTTGTCTGTATGAGAAATTGAGTTCGTCGAGCCGTTTTCCGGTTCCAAATAATTTTCCTTTGTAGTTCTCACCGAAATCACGTTTTTTCGACACTGAATTATTCTTTTATGCATGAAATATTAACACTAACTTATGTAGAGTAATACACAAATGAGCGTCGTCACTAACAAATAACTATTCTTTTGCAATTTACCATTCAAAAACAAAAATTACTTCAGTTTACGAAGGCGCTCCCCCAATTTGAAAGGAAAAGAAAATGTAGGAATAAAAACAACTCGCTTGAAATATTATTGGTTGTCAAGATATCCAATTTTGGCACCAGCGGCCTTGAGATGTGGATTGATCAGAAATGCTGGGTCATGTCTTCCATTTCAAAAACATGGAAAAGAAAATTTACATTCGTCTTTTGCAAAGGTGGCTGTGTAGAATAGATATCGACCCACGCGCCTTTTGCGTGCTCTTGTGTTCATTCCACAACTACGACAAAATTTACACTACACTAAAGTCAGTAAGGAGTAGAGATGGGAGACAGATGATCTCGATAAACAATATCTGCATGGAAAAATCCCAAGTTGTTGCGCATAATTTCTGAACTATTGGTATAGCTGGACATTTAAATTGTCTTGTATGATAAATATAAATTTAGAAAATGCGCAGAAAACATTTGGCCATAAATTCGGTTAACAACTATGCAGTCTTGAAACATAATCAAAAGTATGCAACTTGAATTTTGAGTATTCATATGCGTTTGTGTGAGAGATGCAAACACACCATGCTCGTTTTGGCATTTGGCAGGATAGCGTATAGTTAGCGCGTTTAAATTTTTAGTTTTGTTATCAATGTATGCAAGTATGAGTACCCTTGTCCGATTAATTAAGAATAGTACAAGGTGAGCCTCAGAAAATATAGCAATAGTTTTACTCCTCTGAAAATGAAGAAAATTTATTTAATTTTGTTTACTCTCGATCTCATATTCGTGCATGATTGCATGAAAGTTTCAGGAATCTAGGACGCTTTACACAAAAGTTCTTTTCTCTCTTCCTTCTTTATTGTTGCATGTTTTTTGCTCTGAGATCCCCTTTCCACTCACACAAGTTGTACAACAATAATCATCTTTCTGCCAACAAGTCCCTCGCGCCATACGCCATTGCGACACAACAATGAATATTTCGAAAGATTGTATGAATATTTTAAGTTACACCACAATGATCACGGTGGTTTTTGGACAAATCCCTAGTCTAGAGGCATGTTTCTTCAGACAAGCAATTCACTAGAATGAATCGTTCGACTATCAAACAATCATTGAAGAATTTGGAAATGTGTGAAATAAGATTTTTTTAAACTTTTATTGGGTAATGAACATTGGCATTAATCATAATTTTTATAACGATTCCTAATGATAACATTTCTATATAATTTACAACGCAATGAGCGCTGATCTATCAATTCCAAAGATAATTATTTATTAGTGTAATATTGGACAAATCATGTTTAATTTCAAGTCGCCATTTGACCTTTTACGTATCACTTTTATTGGTACGACTGTTTTCTGTTCCATTCCCATCCCATCCCATAACAATTATGCCTGTCCCATCCCATTGAAATAAAACTCAATATAAATTGTTAAATTTAGATTTGGCGTCTACTAAATAGAACTACATGTACGAAGAGACATGCAAAACAACAAAATTTATGGACTTTGTTAACTTTATATTCATAACTAATATACATGTGTCCATCAGCTCCTTCCCGGAGTATACTGTTAATGCTGAATATATTTTGGTTTTCATAACTAACAAGAGAGCTATGCTCAAATATATGGACACGAAGTACATAACGAAATGTTTTACCATCATTTCCCCGAAAATCAGATGATTTTCGTATCCCATGGGAAATACAAATATGTGCTGTCCTATCCCATGGACGTTTCCCATGGGATTTTCAGGAAAATCCCATACCCATGGACAACCCTGCATATATTAAAACAATCACAATCTCAATATAAAAATAGCAGTATAAATTGACAAAATGGATCTTTTCGTATGTAAAAACTCAATGTTAATAAATGACTTTGGGTTTCGCAATGGAAAGCATAAATGCCCTCTCCATTTCAGTTTACAAGTAAGGTATCGATGACTCCAACTTTCGATGTTCTAACTTGCGACAAGTAGTCATATTCAGATTATCTTTTTTAAACATCTCGTGTGTTCAAGCGTGGTCGTTGAAGCATGTTTACAATTATACGCTGGATGTCGTAGCTGAGCTTACACGACTGGTATGAGTACGTTTTTGTGGAGTTCCTGGCGGGACTGCACAAGGGTTCAATGATACAATCAATTTTTTAGTTTCCTTCCTCATTTTGCTGAAAAAAAATTTGATTATTACAAACTTTCAAACTCATATACGAACCCAATTTCTGGTAGATCAATTAGATTAGAACACACAGAGTACAGACGATCTCTAGAAAATATGGGCGGTGCTTCTGAGTTTACACGTGAACAGCTCAGATGAAAACATCGCAAGCCATTAACAAAAAGAAAATAAAAACAAATGAAAGCATATTAGACGCACTATTCTATAGAAATACATAATATTCACCTTGACGCGAGGTTATAAAAGACAGGATTGAGGCATTCAGAAAATCGCAACAAGATGTATTGTACCATTGCAAATTTCCAATCAAACTTGTTCAATTCCGGATTACTTTCGTCAATAGTGAAACCAGTGTACCAATGAAATGCTGAAAAGTATAAAACCTCATATTTCCCGTTCTCAAATATATATTATTGGCCACAAACGGTGTTTAATCGTGAACAGCAAGAAACAAAAACAATTAAATTCGGGGTTTCAAATACACTACATATGAATTATTTCGATGAAATGCGAAACTCTACTCCAATTATTACATATAAATTACTATATTTACTCAATATACCAACTATTTTACATCTTATATTTTATTTTAGATAAAAATCTAGGTGGACATCATGTAAAAACAAGGGTCTCTGTTTTTACCTATTTGAACTGAACCCCAATTTTTACTACTATTTTCGTCTTAGAATTACCCAATGTTTGCAAAATATGAAAACTTACCTGTTACTGGAGCGTATCCGAGTAGAAACGAACCGACAATCAAGAACAATTGCATTATGATATGTTTATCTTTCTTCCGTCTGGACTTGATCTGTCTGGATACAGAATTACTTGCATCTTGACTTTGCGATGCGGTTGTGTCCCCAGGTCGCTTGTGAGTAGCTAACTTAATTCCGATCGCAGCAGATATGACGATGACCAATCCCGCAGGGACGTACAAAAAGATAGGATATGCAAATTGGATGTAAACCTGCCATGTACTGAACCACCTGCTAGCCAAGCTGCAAGAAGCCCATCTGGCCTGAGACGAATAACGGTCAACAACTTTCACTTCATTGAAGATAGCGTGGGGGATGAATCCACATCCAAATGATAACGTCCAAATTGTAGCCAACCAGAGCTAAGAAGTATAAAAATAATTGAATATTTTGAAATAACATTTAGGAAATATAAAAAGGAATTGATTACCTAATTTTTTTTGAGTGTCATAATATTTCAAGAACACTCATCTTCAGAAAATTTTATTACCTATTTTATCGATTAAACTTAATATTAACTTCTTACTTTTAACTCTCCCATAGAATAGTACTAACAATGAGACTATTAATCGCAATTTCGACAACATATACTTGACATTTTTTTGATAAAGATTGCTCTTACCGCGATATGCTTTCCATTAATTTTCCTAAATGTTGTTGGCCACTGAACTCCAATAAATCGCAGCAGCGCAAAAGATAGAATATGCATAGCTGTTGCATATGATGTCCAGTAATCAACACCCCAGTAGAACTGAAAATTGATATTGCATGTCGGAAACGAATACGTAGACAGTAATAAAATCATATGAGAAAGATTGGCTGCACCTTTACAATCATTCCTTCCCGAAGGTGGCGTATATGGAAACTATGTCATTATACTGCACAAACAAATTGCGACAACGACACATAGTATATGCTTCTTTAACCAATAATCATTAACTAGTAGAACAGTTTTCTATTTTATAATTCGTTTGAGAATGGCATGATTCTATTTTAAACGACGACAGAGCCTGGTTGATTTTTGAAATTATATGCTATTGTATTAGAACAGGATATAACCTTATATGCCGTATTCTCACCTTGCAGAAGAAATCAGGCAGGGCAAAGTAATCGAATCCCCACGTTCTTCGATACAGGAAGAGAGGACTTAAAAGGGCGGAAGTGAGGTCAGATACGCATAGACTGAGGATAAGCGTGTAGTACTTCGTTCTGATAATAGTAATAAAAAGCCATTATTTTATTGTTTAAAGAAGCTCGTGAAATGAGTAATACCCATTCACCATACAGTTTTCTCAAAAAGTGAGTAGGCTGCTTTGAATATGAGTAATTATGAAATATATGGTTAGGTTTGAGCACGTAAATGTGTTTCTAGAAATAGATGCTAAATATTTTGCATTCCCTCGAATGTGTTCAACTTTTTGAGCCTTTTTTCTCAATGAATATTTAATGCCAAATATTAGCCTCGATTGAATAAATACTTGACTATGAAAATAGGAATTAACTTCAGAATATAATTTGGATATAGGTGTAATCTGATCATCACAATCGATAATACAATTTGAAACTGCAAACATAGTTTTGGGGGTTGATGGTTTAACCAGGGTGGTTTTTAGCCAAGCTTTCTAAACATACATAAATACCTGCATATATAAAACAATCTGATCGAAATTTACGTCATATTGATAAAATACTCGAATTAGACAGTTTTTGGGTGTGACTATAGTCAAAACAAGTTCTTGACATCATATGAAAATAAGCAGTTCAATAATTCCATATTAATTTATTGTGAAACACGATCAAAGGTTACAGTTTTGCCTTAACCACTCACCGTAGTTTTGACGATTTTCTTATGACAGCAATAGTAAGCGAATTTGCGACGGTCCCGAAGATCATCATGGCGAACAAGATGACGGCTGAAACAACGACCCATGCTGTCGTATAGGGCGGTTGCCATGGTCTAAAATGATAGATTGATTTATAAGATTATACAAATTAATGTAACTTCATTATCATGAAAAAGCTTAATACATTTTTCACTGAAAATTAGTTGTAGAACAATCGTTCTTAACTGCACAAAATAGGTTGCGACTTTCTCTATTCCATCCCGTGCATTAAGTAAGGGAGATAGATAAACGTTGCAAATACTTACCCAACTGTAGTCAATGAAGTACTTTTGATGTAAATCGAATTGTAATTTTTTCAATGTTATTTTGTTGGAATACGATTATAACGTTGTAAACAACTTAAATTTAATAACAAATTGTGATAGAATGTCATAGTTTGTTTTAGAAAAGCCTTAAAAATTGTTATGTATGAGTGTTCGTTGTGTGGCAAAGATATATGGTAAACAGGAACAAGTTATTGGAAACAGCAGGTATGTTGGATATGTGCAATCCTGCGTTGTTACTGGATTAATCATATGTTTTAAAACTTCCGAATTGAAATAAAATCATAATTTACATCACACTACAACTTGTGGTTTTGGCAAAATAATTAGAACAAAAACTGCTTTGATTGTCTATAATGTACAGGTTTGAGACTCTTGGTATTTTGATTTGTATAAATGGTGGTATCAGATTAATTAGAGCAAACTGTATTGGATGAAAGTTTGTCTATTCATTCAACAGCCCTACCATCGCGCCTACGTGGGTTTTGCTCTTGAACAGTGCGATGATGAAGTAAAGCGACGATATTTTTAAAGAAATTTGATATTATTGCCTTCGAGTGAGGAAATGACCTATAATGTATTGGCTACGAAATGGTCTTCATCCCAGAATTGTCTTGAAGGAGGTGTCGAGTTGAATACAAAAACAAATTAAATTTCAAAGTCGCTGATGTCAATTTTCATGTGAAGCGAATACATGAGCTTCATTTTTATTCACCACAGACAATTTAAATTTACTTTGGATTTTAAAAATGCAATTTCGGTTGTCGGCTTCTGTGTGACCATCGACTGACCTCCAATGTGAGAATACCGACCGAAAGTTTCCATACTGGGAATACAATCGACTTTTGTGACGTCTCGCACGCGCGGTTTCTAGATAGATATCTTTATTCATTGGATTAGTTTCCGCTGGCATTTGTACGGACATTTCACAGACGATAGGCAAGCATTGTGATAAAATGAAACAACTGAACCCTAGAACTTGACTCGGGACAATTCCTATCGCTTTCCAATATTCGTAATTGATCTGATGACAACTTTACGCCACATTGAAAGTATCGACAACATTGCATGACGACAGCGTGGTATTAAATAAATTCAACTGGTACTTTATACAACTTGACCCACAAAACCTATTCGTGGGTGTTTGGTCGATTCGAAGCGGACCAACGTAAAAACTTTCTAATGTCAGATCTCTTATACTAACTAAGGCATTTGATTGGTTTAGATTAGATAACTTCCCAAAACAATCGCCAAGCAGGACAGTCTGAAGTGGCGTTTAACACCTAAAGCGAATACAATTGTTGTGGTTGTTGTTATTAATGCTAGTTCATTTACAAATTTCAATACGATCAACAGAATCCCTGATTGAAAAGCGAGACATTCCGTATTTATCCTAAACTTCCAATATTCCTAAGGCTTGATATATAAAAAATAACTTACTCTCTGTATGTTGAATTTTCAGTCACAATCGAATTCGCTCCGTCAGTAACCGTTATAGTTGTTGTTGACTCCATGAAATTGATATATTTTTGTCAGTTCACTAGTTCGCACTACGTATAACAATATATGCTACTCTGTTCTCGATCATTTCAAATTAAAATTATAGATAGAAGAAATATAATTAGGTTAAAAAACTTTCAACGGGCATTGTAAGGGGGCAAAGTCGGTCAGTGTTCACAGCAACAAACGCAAAACTCCTTTCGATTGTGCATGAGTATATAAAAGTAATGTACTACTTAAATACTAATTAATGTATAATTAATATTCAAGATCACCGTCGTTAGGATGCGACAATTGAAATGTGTATTAGAATCTAAAAGTCTTATTTATATATCGCCTGAGTATATATATATATATATTTATAAATAAATATATCGCCTGAGTTTTCGAATATATAACTTCTGTTTTTCAAATTTGTAGTAGATGACTGATGTGACATCATGGTGCAGTTTTCATAAATTTCCACCACGCGTCATAAAAGCATATTCATTTTAACGCCCTGATAGGCAAGCTATTCAAAAATCGAGTCGCATACACCCACTCACCGTCAAACTATGGGACAACAAATATAGTAAACACACTACAACTTACTATTTCATTCTGAATGATTAGATTATTTTTATAAAAATTACTCTATTTGTAGAACCCCTATGCTGCTACCCGACGACTGTCGGAATTTTACAACTCTCTACAATTTCGACGCAGGTGCGTTAGTTAAATAGTTCCGACGCATACGCATAGGGCACGATTTGCGACGTAATAGGGTACGCAACGAGGTGCAAAGAGCGGTTGCGTATTCTGTCAGAGTCTTCCGTTTTCTTTAATATCCATGTAGGTTCGCCATGTTCTGATAACACATTATGACGCACACTACTTTGAAACAATGGAAAATTGCGTTCTTAATTGATAAACAACCTATCGGAAGTTGTCCTTCTGTCCTTCCTAGAAAAGGTCATTGAAAGCAGCATTGCGTGCCATGAATATACCACATACACGTTATCAAACGATCAAAAATCAAACGTGAAAAAGGAGGTGGATCTTAATTTTTGTTTGTTTAAATGAGAGTGTTGACGTGCATGGCAACATTACTCAGGAATTCACGTTGTGGTAAGTCCCCATTAAATTCGACTAATATTTTGACTAAAGCATGCATATCGTCATATATACGAAAAATCATTACTGAAATATATTAATTAAGATAATTATAGAGTTTTTTTGTTTCAATGTTTCAGCATCGCGATGCCGATACTACTTTCGGATATACCCGAAACAGATTTCAAATGTGAAATTGCATCAAAAAAGAAAATTATGAATATTATTAGAATTACAAAGACATTAAAATATTGGCAATACCTCTTCATAATAGTTACGCTATGAAATCGTATTTTTTCGACTACCCATTACAAAAAATCAGACCCATACCTATATTGTATAAGCAGTCAAAAATTATTTTATTCTGTTGTCCAAAGTTCGCGCTTTGCGTACGAGTTTGGATCTTTGAAAAAAAAATTCGCGTTTCGGCCTATTATTCTGGAAACCATTCCCTCCGCCGATATATAAACTATATTATTGCCTATAGATTTTCCTTCAGTCAGAATCTTTTTTGTTTGTAATATCACGAACATGTGGATTTTTAGTTCGCGTCCATCATACAAATTCAGAATCACCTTCTCCGACAATGCAATCATTATTCAAGTCACAAGACCTTATATATATACATGTATGTTTAAAATACTAATAATTGGGACTTTTTTCTGCAGGCACTCGTGAATTGAAACAAACGCCTACTTCTGTGGCACAAATACTGCATACGTGCTCCTAGCAGATATCAATCAGTATATTCCTCATATTTGGCACCATGTGATGGATCAGCGTAGAAAGTAATCATCTTATTGTTATCCACGGGATTAGAGCACAAAATACTAACTGGCATGAAGACAGATAAGTGAGTTATTCTACATTATGTGTCTCACAGTGAGTCAGTGATCACACGTGTCTCATCCTACGCCGATCAAATTCGAACAGCAAGCTGTCGTTGAGTGAAGGCTAATCAAGTTCACACAAAAACGGGGAATACTGACTAAATATTTTTACCAAATCTATTAACCGATTGCTAAACAAAACTAACGTTTATTTTGGAATGTAAATCGGTGATTAACATAAAGCGCTGGTTTATAATAAATGTTAATCAGTCTTGAGATAATGCTCATCAGTAATTTCAAATCGGAAAGACCATATGCACACTTCCAATGTCTTTCTTTAACATCAATTTTATCAAATAAATCTTTCATAGGATGATTTAATTCATCCTTATTTCCTTTACATCGGATATGGCTTTCATTTATTTCCGCTGTTATGCATGCCTTTCCTAATTTAAATTTTAATTAAGTATAATTACAACTCGAAAACAACTTAGTTTCAAAGTTAGATTTATTGATTGAATTTCTCCGCGCTGTTCATATGAATATTTAGATACATTTGAAATATATATCGTCCCGCTAATAACCAAATTGCGTAAGTCATTTTTGGCGATTTTGGTTTTTTTTATAAAATAGGTATTAATTAATGTAATGCTGCGCAACTGTCTGTTACCTCAGATTTTATTTTAAAAATTCCCAAACCCATAAAAATGGAGATTTAATATGACATGCACTTTTATGCAATTGTTTCGTCATAATGAATTATCATTGTTACCGCAGGATTATTGTGACGTCACAAAGGCAAAATAACCTCGGCGAAGTATTTTCGAGTTTTTGCATCTCGGATTCTAGCTTAGTATTAATTTGAATTTCTACTACAGTATAGGAAGACGTGCACTTGTGATATTCACTGTCCGAGTCCAATTCACCTTGGTTGGCTTTTATATTGGGTGCATTGCTGTTTTATTCTTTATATTTAATCTTAGTCTTATTTCGGTGGGTGTGCAGAACGTGTTATATTGATGAAATATTTATTTTCAAACATAAAATATATTGTAATTGAAACTGAATAGCTATTATGGGGATTAGACATTGTAGATACTGAGAATTACATTCGTTTTTGGAATGTTTAGTTTTCAGGACTGGTGCATATAGTAAAGTTGCAAAATTGCGTATGTCCCCAAGTCATAGACACATTTCTGCCTAAGTCACAGTGCGCCATTATGACGTCACTTAACTGCGTCATACAAATTAACTTAAATCCGGCTACGATCAAAAAACACTCAATGGCATAACAATATCATTAGGAAGTTTTTTACGCTTTTCTCAAAACTGCTAAAAATGACTTACGCAATTCGGTTATTAGCGTGGCGATATGTAATTATCATATCATAAAAATGCAGAATATATGTTCGTTTCAAAGAGAACTTCTACATGCAGTCGATGTCAATAATCGAGTACAATACAATCTCGGAATAAGAATTCTTATCTGCCGATAACATAAAATATGTATTTAAAACATAATATTAACAGATAATAAAACTACAGCATATCCTCTACTTCCTTCCAACCGACAAATTATGGACAGCAGTTTAGTCCTATTAATTCGTTTTCGTATTCAAGTACAAGTTACATTAAATATTCAAGACTTGAACATTTTCATTCAGACAGAATCATTATTTGAGCTATGTGTTGAGATTACATTAAATATTCAAAACTTGACATGACGGCATGTTAATTCTATCAGCTAATTAAGTAGGGTAATCACAACTATAATCAAATGTGTTATCCATCAGGTATAAACCACACTCGAGTATAAATGAATCGCCTCACCAAAACATGAACGAATGAACAATGACGGGATGGTGTTTACTATTATTGGACACGTTAGTGGACATAACGATCGTTTTGCATTATTTTTGGACACCTAGTGGAAAACTTAAGAAAAGTCGTTATGTACACTGACGTGTACAATAATAATAATAAAACTATCTACCTTCTTCGTCAATTTTCTCGCAATTTCCTTGACTAATGATTCGTCCGTTTTTTATCTTGGTTACGCAAGGGCCAGAACCACCTAAAATCAAACTCAATCAGTCAATTGACTCCTAGAAATTAATTAAATTTCATCTAATTAGAAAATATGGAATAATTGAATAACAAAATTTAAAATTTTTTTAACCCGGAACAGAAGAAAAAAGATAAACTAATGTAATATTCAGTTTATAAAAAGGTTTTTTAATATGAAGAATTCTTCCTGTTTATGTAAATTTGGAACTATAATGCTTATATGATAAGCATTTTAACCAATCCCGACCACTATTCTTCCATTTGTTTCGTTCGTTTTATAAAATTTCATTATATCAACTTCCCATCAGAAAGTATATGTTCATCAGCAATCTGGGTAGTTCAAGCTTCTATCCATTCAATGATAAATTTCCCTTAAGCTTCTATCCATTCAATGATAAATTTCCCTGAAAACTATTTCATGAAGTAATCGGGAATTTTCATTCACTCATCGTTATATGATGGAGTATAACAATGACATGAAAATGGCTAATGCTACTAGGTACGTGATGCAAAAAAACAAACAGCACACTAACAAAGTTTGAGATAGGAGTTGACTGCCCCAATAACATCAAAGGAAAACAGGAAATCCTAACATCGTGGCTTAAAAGCAATATAGTTATAAAACCAAAACAAAACCCAATAGAAGAAAAAAAAAACGAGGAACAAACGAGACAGTTCTAACTCCAACGCCCGCCACCCCAACGAAAACAGCCACGCCCGATAGTAACTCCCCCAACATAGTTCTTTTTTTCGAAACCGCTGATATAGAAAGCAAAGAAACAAAAGACTGGTCTCTTAGTCTCGACAATTACCCACACCGCAATACTCCGCCACTACACCCCCAGTAGCTCCCCGCAAACCAAAACTCAAAATTACATCGACCATTGGAAATACACCATTTCTTCCTGGAACAGAGCCGAAAGGAAGTCCTCTTCGTCCTCGTCAATCCCCCCGCCAACAGCAACAAAGGGAAAGTAAAGATAGCACCCCGGATGATATACTCATATGAAAATTATCTCCTGAAACATTAACGGACTCATGAGTCACCTAGATGAAATCAAATATACTCTCCTAAACCCCAAACCAGAAGTGGCCCTCCTGTAAATATAAAAAATAAAAAAAAATCGAGACCAATATCGAACTTGAACCTTGATTATAAAATACTTGCCAAAATTATCTCAAACCGCCTACGTCATAAATTCGCACAAATTATCCACCAAGCTCAAAAACTCTCAATTCCAAACAAACAGATCTCAGATATTCATAGAAAATCTGATTAAATAGGCTACTCCAAAAAAATCAAATTCCAACATGTATCCTTACAGTTGAACGAATGAAAGCATTCGACATGATAAACCACAAAAAATTGGTGTTGAAGCAAGAATATTTACAAAAACTCTGCACACGCTTAAGATAAAATGGATTTAACAATTGTACTATCAAATGTTACAGAGTGTAACAGAAAGGCGTGTTCCTTGTTTGTTCCTGGTGAAGTACATGATGTCAACAAATGTTGATTCACAAAGATAGGTTGAACCAAACAATAATCTTGTAAAATAGGATTGCTGTATGATTTGAATCGCGAGCTTTTTCTGCACGTACTGCGCTGACCTATGGATAGTAAGCATAATATCACTCCGTTTTGGAAAAGCACGGTTAGGTCGATCATCGAGGATTTACTTGGTGGTCTGCGGTGCTCTATTTCACCTTTGATACTAGAGTAGAAATATCGCACTGATTTGGTGCCCCATGTAGATGGTTACTGGACGATGCCTTCGTGGATGTCCCAAAGCGCTTACCACCACGGTAACGTCGTGGTAGAGAAGGACGGGTGAAATTTTCTCCAAGCTCTTCGAAATTTGCAGGAGTTCCCGGCGTATTTTAAGTTCATGGCGTTCCTCTAAGACAGCGTTTCCCAACCTTTTTTGGTCGCGGACTATTTTCTCACCCGCGAAAACCTTTGCGAACTCAAGGTGCGTTTATTGCAACCGTACTCTGTGTAAAGAAGCAATAGAACCAAACACAACAGAAATTTAACGAATTTCAAAATCGGAAATTCGCCGCAATTACGTGTTCGTTAAAAAAGCCGATTTTTTTGGTGTATAATGGACTTTTCTGTCGCACAGTATTAACTCCATGACAACGACGAGAATTTTAAATGTCTTTCTATTTTAATTTAATTGTGTTCATCATGGTAACTCGCGGTTGCGTCGACTTACGACAAGATGAAAGCATTACTTTTTTTAAATTCCACTGCCATCTGCGAACATAATAATGAGAGAATTTATTGCCTGATTATATTCAGCTTTGATACATATTTTTTGCGACCTTGTGAATTTGTCATCGCTGTTAGAAAAAATCATACTAACTGCTATAAATTTCCAGAATGTACAACTTAATTTAGCATTTATTAAAAATATATTTAAAGTATATATATCAGTAAATCGAAAAGTAAATCAGGCAGTGGAATTCATGGCCTTGAAATTCTCCGTGTGTGAATTCGACATTACTACTGTGCGTACTTACTGTGCGACATTACTAATGTGGAGGCAGTAGAGAATCCTGAAGGAAATACCGTGGTACGTATACTACGGCAGCACCCGAAATTTTGCGATTTACTATGCCTAAAAAACGTTTTTAATCGGTCGCGGACCGCTTTTTAATTTAGAAAATTTGGGTTACCACCATATACACCTACCAGAAAAATAATTTATTTCTCGTTGTTCGAACTCGCGAGAAACACCTATTACGAATCTATGGAAGCGTGTACAGACTCTTGTTTTCGTCGGAAATCCACAAGTGAGTTGTGAAATCCAATCGTTTGATTAAGCAATTCGCAAGTGACCTGTCGCGTCACGTGTTACCAAATTTTCGATTAGTAAATGTGCTATTGAAGGCGTCTTTGAGCATGTTTTCATGCTTGATTCGGTCATTGCAGATGCCAAGAAATACAAGAGAGCTATGCTCAAATATATGGACACGTAGCGCAACCAAATAGCAATAATTTTGATGACGTCATAGCGAGAAAAAAAGTGATAGCCCTCTGGAGAAAAATTTTATCTTTACCCACTGAAAATTTCAAAGCAATTGGTCCAGCATTCGAAGGGAAAAGCGAATAACAGTAACAACATAATATTGAAACGATCGCTATGTCCACTACGTGTCCAATACGCGTAATCTTTTTGTAGCGTGGCTTGACACCCGTAATGCTTTCGGGTCGGTATAGCATAGTGCCATTTTCGAAGTCCTGCGACATAGTACATGATGGAAACAATTGCTGACATTTACAAGGATAACTTGTTCACCATTCGAACTCTGGATCTACGGCAACCATCAAAATGTTGTGTTCTTGCTATGGTTCGGTCGGGAGGCACGATGAACGCGGACAGTGAACCTTTCCATCTCAAAGGCGGTGGGGTTGCTGTTCTTGGCCGGGATGACTTCCTTGGCAAGAATATTGGATACCGGATCGTCGAACGGAGTGAGTTTTTTTAACCAAATTTTAATTTACATCCGGAGGCTATTTGCTTCTGAGCTCACTCGTTTCAAAAACTGTTGGCGCTGAAGAGGTTTGTTCTACCTAAGCTTTTCTTCCAATTTCGGATTCGGTATTTTTTTCGGCGCGACCTCGAGCGGCTGGACGCGAGCATCGTTTGTCTGATGAGAACCGTTTTCCGGTTACTAGTCCGCACCTGTCAGCAGTTTTTTTCATTCAACGGCTGCGGTCGGACGTCTGTGCGTCCCGAATATTGCCCTCGAAGCGGACATATTCGGGTCACCCATGCGTTCAAAACTTTGAATTCTCCCGAATCTATGGTCCGTTCTGTCAAGATTTATTGTTGTCAGGATTAGACCGAGGTTCTATGCACACAATAAACTTGATCCAAATATTCATCAGCCGGACGAACGGCCTTTATTAAACAGTATACAGTAAGATTCAGTACGATATAATTACACAGCTAAATAGACAGCAGCCCTAGACAAAGAAGCCCGTGACCAACATATTCAGGCTTCACGTCACTTCTCAATTATTGCGTCATAATCACTTTAATGGAAGTCAACGTAAACAAGTCTGTAAATCATGATACAACATCTCCCTTTCTTTTTAAAGTGATTAATATGACGCATTATTTATATTCAATATTAACGTTTAAAACGTCATATAATCAAATTCTAGTCCCTATCTAGCTACTAGAGGGTAGACTACCTCTGCAGCATACAAGCTTTGAGGTATATTCTGCCTCGATGTAAAGCTTGTCACCTATCTGACTAGAAATTACATTTCTTCAATGTATCGTCTTGGCGATCGACGTATTCTATTTGACCTCCTTACACTGGGCTGTGTAGGATGTACGTTATTGTCTCTTGAAGAATCATGATTCTCATCTTCTTCTCTGGACGATATATGTGTTGGTTCAAAAACATCTTCTGCATTCTGAGTATCTCCTAACATTCTTCTAGTCATACGTCGATTTCTCCGAACTGTACCTTTCGGAGTCTCAATCAAAACTAATCTTGGAGCAAAGTGTCGGCCTAACCCTCTCCCTTCAGTTCTCAAATCTGGTATCCAAACTCTGTCGCCCAGAGATAAGTCATTGCCCTGAACAACTCTGTGTCGACGATTATAATCATTTGTCATTTTACTCCTCTCCCTGTGACAAAGTTTCCGGAGTATTCCGGAACTTTCGGTATGGGTTCGTCTGGATGGCATGGTACTCTAGTTTTCAGCTTTCTGCCCATACTCAGTTGTGAAGGCGAATATCCATTATGCAATGGAGTATTTCGATATGTCAGCAATGCGAGATATTCATCATCGCACTTGTTCAGAATTGCCTTCATCGTCTGGACAGCTCTTTCAGTTTCACCATTTGACTGACTATATTTCGGTGATGACGTTATGTGCTCAAAGTTCCATTCCTTAGCAAATTCTTTAAACTGTCTTGAATCAAACTGTGGACCATTGTCTGAAAATAATACGTCACAAATACCATGGCGACTAAAAATCTTCTTCATTTCCAATACAGTTTCCGCTGTATCAACATTCTTGGTCACGATGCAAATTTCTACATCGCGATAATAATAATCAACTGCTAGAAGATAGTTGTTTCCTTTGTAATAGAAAAAATCAGCGCCAATTCGTGACCATGGTCTCGTTGGAAATTCTGTTCCTCTCATTGGTTCGATTCGATCTCGTCTATATTTCTCACAAAGATTGCAGTTTCTCACAACTTTTTCAATATCACGAGACAGTCCTGGCCACCAAACAGAATTCTTCGCATGTTCACGCGATTTACTCACACCTTGATGTGCATCATGTAAATATCTCAATATGTCTGTTCGGAGTACTTCTGGAATCACGAGCCTGTTTCCCTTCATTAAAAGATCATCATGTATGCTGAAATTCGCTTGCTCGTTCCAGTACTTATTCACAGGACCGTATAATTGCTTTTTGTTTTCCGGCCATCCAAATTTAACATTGTGCATCACAACTTTTATAATGTCGTCTTTCTCCGATTCACGTCTAATTTCATCCAATCTGGAGTTTGAAGCAGGCAAGTTAACCATTATGGATTGAACATAACAGTCCGTATCAGCTAACAACTGATCATCTTTGTCAAACTCTTGGATAGGTCCTCGGGACAATGCGTCAGCGGTGTATAGCATTTTACCCGGAACGTGCACAATTGTAAAATCATATTTCATTAACCTCATTCGAAAACTTTGTACTCGAATGGGTAGCTAATCTATCATCTTCGTAGATAACAGTGGTACAAGAGGTTTGTGGTCTGTCTCAATTTTCAGACTCTTCAATCTTATCAGCTGTTTTGCCAATGTTCCATAGACCACATAATAGCTAACGCCTCTTTCTCAATCTGAGCGTATCTGGACTCTGTTTCAGTCATAGATCTACTTGCATAAGCGACAGGTCTGAGCTCTCCTTAAACTTGCTTTTGAAGCATAACAGCTCCAAGTCCATATCCGCTTGCGTCAGCAGATACAACGGTTTCCAACTCTGGATTGTACATTGCAAGTATTCGATCTGACGTTAGTTCCTCCTTTACTTTCTCAAATGCCTTTTCCTGTATTGGGCCCCAACACCAAGCATTCTTTTTCTTCAAAAGATCACGTAAAGGTTTCGTATGTTCTGACAAATCAAGAGTAAATTTCATCACCTGATTTGCCATTCCCAAAAATCGCCTGAGCGCTGAAACATCAGTAGGAGTAGGAAAATCGTTTATGGCTTTCACTTTTCAGGATCTTTACAAATTCCTTTCTCCCCAATTATTTGGCCTAAATATTCAAGTTTCGTAGCATGGAACACGCATTTATCAATGTTTAGCGTCATACCCTCATCTTGGAGTCGATCCAGAAGTTGTTTCAAACATTCATCATGCTTCACAGCGTCAGTACTCAAAATTATGTCATCCATGTGACAAGTCGTATTGGAAAATCCTTCCAAAATGTGGTTCATTCGTTTTTGGTACAATTCTGAGGCGGATGAAATCCCATAAGGCAGCCTTAGGAACATGAATCTCCCAAATGGCGTAATAAACGTCGTCAGTTTACGACTTTCTGTGTCAAGCTCGATTTGGTAAAATCCGGAAGTCGCATCCAACTGAACCTTTTGCTATTCTTCCCAAAGTGTGTTCTACAGTGGGCATTGTGTATATTTCACGTTTTACCGCTTCATCAAGCTTGGTCAAATCAACGCACATTCTAATTTCACCACTGGGTTTTGGTACGACTACAATCGGCGCGCACCACTCACTTGGTTCGTCGATGGCTTCGATAACATCTAGTTTCACCAAGCGGTTTATTTCAGCCTCTACTTTTCCTGGTAGGGGTATCGGAATTCTACGAGGTGTTGCCACACAAAAAGGCTTCGCTTCATCTTTTAAGCGAATTGTATGTTCACCTTCCAATTTACCCAGTCTATTAAATAATTTGGGATATGCTTTCAAAACATCCTCCTTAGTGCGGAGTGAAGGTACGTTTTCCCGTGAGCCTTTCTTGCACTCAACTATTTTTACAGTATATGTACCTTTGACCTCATGTATCAAACCCAATTTCTGTATGGCTGGTATTCCCAATAGGAGTTTCGATGCTTTTCGCACCACATATACTTTTTCGGTGATCTCGATTTTGTCATGTGTCATCGTCATCTCCACACAGCCAACTACGTCTAGTTTGACACCACCAGCTCCGAATAATTCTTTATCGGTCACTGTTATTTCACCAAAAGCCGTTTTATACACATTTTCGGGCATCACCGAAACTTGTGCACCAGTATCTATGCACCAAACAAGTTCTCCATTTTCGGTTCCAGCTTTTAGTTTAATAAACCACCCTGGATCATTAGAAAAATTCTATTTCATACGCTTTCTGCGTTTTCTAGATCGATTTATAGTACCCACAAAATCAGATTTCGGCTTGCTAGGGCTTTGTATTTCCCCAACATTAATCGGAACTCTGCTTTGACAAACAGAATAAAAATGACCAACCTAGTGGCATTTGTTGCATTTCTTGTGGGCAGCTGGGCAGTTATCCGGCATGGTGCTTGTAATTGCAATATCGGCATTTGGTCTTGCTCTGGTCAGTGCTTATCCTAGCCCGACCTCGATATTTCTTCATTGGTCTTTGTCCTCTTCTTTCGTCTTCTTCTATGGTATCAATAATCGCTGTCTTTGTTTCTTTTAGTTCCCGACTGGTTGCTTCTTTCAGTGATAAAATTTGTATCACTTTTTCTAACTCAAGTGAGGCACCTGCATCATATAATTTCAGTTTTGTGGCATCGTCGCGACAAGAAAATGTCAGCTTATCGCGTATTGCTTCATTCACAAAATCGGCAGGAAACTTACACTCTTGCGCCATCTGACGAATTGCGTTTACACAGGCATCGAAAGTCTGGTCAGGCTCCCGATTTAATTTCAACCAAAATTTCCCACACAACATAAGCTGCGGATCACGTTTTGTGAAAGATTCATCAAATTTCTTGATCACGGTTTCATAGTCATCGCGATCTTCTGCAGGCAAAGCATCGCCGCCGCTTGGATTTGGCCTTTCCGCAAGAAATGTAAAATTTGCAAAAATGTCTATTCCCTGATCGCCAATATGGTTTAAAAGAAGTCCAATCTTTTGTTTTGCCGGTTTCTCCGACATACCAGTAGCTTGTAGATAAATTCGGAATTTTCGATTCCATTTTCCCCATGTCTGCGAGGGATTTCCGCAAGCTTTTATATCAAGGCCATCTGGAGGTTTTACACAACCTTCGGCCATTACGCTTTGGGTCTTGGTAGCCTAATTCGTCTTCCCAAAGTATTGTGAATATCTTACTGTAATCGAGTACCTTCAGTCGCGCGATAACTCTTAAATCACTGCGACGCTGTAAAATCGTTGTCCTACGATTTCAAGTTTTAAAATCGTCCAGTAGTCTTCAGGATTGCTTTGATCAGCATCCCACTTCTGACACCATGTCAAGATTTATTGTTGTCAGGATTAGACCGAGGTTCTATGCACACAATAAACTTGATCCAAATATTCATCAGCCGGTCGAACGGCCTTTATTAAACAGTATACAGTAAGATTCAGTATGATATAATTACACAGCTAAATAGACAGCAGCCCTAGACAAAGAAGCCCGCGACCAACATATTCAGGTTCACGTCACTTCTCAATTATTGCGTCATAATCACTTTAATGGAAGTCAACGCAAACAAGTTTGTAAATCATGATACAACACGTTCGGTTGCTCGTGCTCGGCTAGGTGAAATTGTGGCGACGCAGGTCCTGATAATCGTCTTTCTCATTCGTAATACCTCCTCTGAGCCAGATGGACGGCGCTTTGGCCCGTGTGATGATCTGTGGGGCCAACTGCGCCCTATGGGTCATCGTATAGGTCTTTGCTTGGATGTTTCCTCAGAGGGGAACTTCACAATCACCACTAATAATCTCCTGATCGAGAGCGGCAACAAGATAAATCGGGTGTTGCACCACGTGTCCAACACCCTTTTGTTGAGGCAGTGGGGCGAGCTTCGGGACCAGGGGAAGACAGTTTCCTATCATTACCGGTTAGGTTGCTCTAACCACTTTCTCTCTACGTCTCTCTCGCTCAGGTTCAGATTTCATGGGTTTTGAAAGCTCGCTTAAATCTTCTGCAGCTGCGATCCGTTCGTAGACGGTTTGCAGCATATGCAGAACCACGGGTGACTTGTAGTAAGTGTGGTTACGCAAACGAGACTCTTCCTCGTGTGGTGAATTAATGTCGTCCAGTCAAAAATATCATCAAGGAGCGGCACGATTCGGTGCAGGAAGAGATCTTGGCTCACCTACTCCCAGCCAGGTTTTCTAGGCGCGATGTCGACGTAGTTTGTCGAGAGCACGCCGCTAGAACAGCTGAGATGCTGCGGCCCGATTTGATTCTCGAGGAAATCGGAACGAATCGGGTCGTAGCACTCGATGTGGTGTGACATTCGACAACGGCGAGGCCGCTAGATGACGCGACCGGTCGGAAGCACTCTAAGTATGAGGAGTTATGTCGCTCCATTGCTCTTGGGGTGCTTGGGTGCTCCATTGCTCTTACCTCCGACAAAGTAGTGGAGTTCCATGCATTTGTGGTTGGTTCTCTCGGCAGTTATGCCGTTGCAAACCAGACTGCTTTTTGTGCTTTGGGTGTGATCGGGGGTGGTGCTACGGCGGTCTCCGTAACTGCGTTCCCATCCCATCGCGTCTGGAAGGCCTTGTGTGGACTTCCTGACAGTGTCGGCTAATCTGACTTCACCTTCTTTTCCAACACTGAAAACTTCTTGTTTTATATTTTCTTCCTCTTGTTTTTTATTTGTGGGATTGCGAGCTTGCGTGTCTTTTTCGTTGTCATATTCACCCCGTTGAATCCCACTAGTGGTTTCTCTAGGTAGTTTGAGCCCTTTGCTAATTAAATCAAATTCAATGATATTGCGGTCCGGATTAGTTTGTCTGTATTTTACTTTTTCCCCACCACTTGCCTCCACAAACTCACTCTCGGTGATGGGCTTGGGCCCACTTAGATGCCATATATATATTAGTGTATACCGCTCGCCTTAATTATCCCATTTTTAATTTGCAGGTATTGCACACTTTTTGTTCCACGGGGGTTTATTAGTTTGATTGTTTCCTATTAAATTTGATAATCTATCAAATTTTCCCACATTATTGATTCCGAATTTCACCCCGGTTGATAGAAAAAGGTGAACGGTAATTATAATCCAGTTCGATTTTTTCGTGTTTAGAACCCATCGCCGAGTTTGCCAGCCTCTCGCTACAATTTCATCTTTGTTAATATTTTTGCTTGTGGTTTTCTTTCCTATATTCTTTGAGAGGCTGGCTAAGTTAGATAAGTCGTACACTTTCTTAATATTGACTTGTTATTTTTTAAATGTTTCATTTAATTTTTTTGTTAAGGTTCAATTCTTATTTGTATTTATTTATAAATACCGTTTTTGCCCCCAATGCGGGGGAGGCTAGTATTACTGGCGAATGTACATGTTAATTTAAATGAAAGTGCAAAAAATATCTTATTTTAAAAATCATCCGTTACTTCTGTTCTGTTGGATACTGACATCATGACCAATTAACGTAAAATCTTGTCGTTATATAACGGAATAACTAATCATTTTAAACAACACATGTATGTTTTGATTGTAGAAGTGAAAAGATAATAAATATTGAAACTCTGTATTTAATCGTAAATATATACTACTACGATTTGAATTTGATGTATGTTATGTAATGAACTTTGTAATAGTTGCAGAGATAAAATAAAAAGTGGGTTCACGGTCCTACAATAATTTGGTTTCAAATTGACTCCGACCTCACGAAATCTTGAACCATGCAGCTCCGTGGGGATATTTTCCTAGATTGCAGGAGTTTATGGAGACGCAGAACGTGCGTTCAGGCTTTGGGTTGGCTTAGCGAAGGATTGCGCCGTTTATTTACCCTGTGCTTGTGACTTCCTTCTGTGTTATTTTTCGATAATCATACAGTAATATACTGTAGTAGTGGAAATGACAACATTTATAAGTTCCAGGGTAGCGCTGCATGGTGAGTGACTATGGTATTGGTACGGTACCGGTTTCAGGGTTTAATAATGCAGTAGGGACGCATACCGGTAGTCTAATAGTTAACAAAACCACAACGATAATGTCATAGTTTACCTGCAAAACTGTTTTATTTATCGGTTAGAAATTGGTTGATTGTCTGTTGGCAGACAAATGCCGACTGTCAGACTGTGGCTACCAATGTCTGAATGTGGGGTCTTGTGTAGTACTTCTAGTTGGTGTAGCATAACAACTTTTTGACATGTCAATCCTAACCCCCACCCGACTACGCCATCCAAAAATTACGTCACTACGACATTCTGACATCACAATTACGTCATAGAGTTCGCCAAATATACTGATGTACCGGTACGTACGATCGCCTGAAATGTCATCGGCGCCGACAATAAAGAATTGACTAACGTCAGAGATCTCTTTCATATTGGGATTGTTGCGACACGAAAACGAGAGAAATAGTTGTCGATTTCGGGTGCTCGTCTGCGCATCTTGGATGACAGTTTATATAGTTTGAAGGGCTTTATTACGTCTCTGTGACGTAGTACAGGACTGGTAGTGACGTAATTTTTAAATAGCGGGTTCAGGTGGGGGTTAGGATCGACATATGGAAAACTTGTTGTGCTATACTATAAGTTCGTTAGGTCAGTAGGTGCTAAACTACATGAGAGTCCAAACATGACTATCACTGGGTTCTGGAATTGCATGAACCACAGCATTGATCATCCATCATGGTTTCATCATTAATGAATTAGCTTGATAGTGAAAAAATTTTAATGTTAACTGATCATTTTTTCAGGTCTGAGATCATGTTTTGGCAATTTAAAAGATGGAAATGTGCCTGTTTGTGTATGTATTATATTTTCATTTTAACATCCAATAATATTTTTAAAAAATTGAGTTACTCTGTAAACAAAAACTTTAGTTTGCAATTATTTATTAAGTGATGTATCAAACTTACTTGTATGCATTAATGAATTTTTTATTCCCATTTCAGATATTGCGCAATACAGCTGGTGTATGCATCAACAGGTTTTATGCTGCAGCAGTAAAACAAGTCTATCAACGTAACAAACCACATATAAATATAGGAACAATTGGACATGTTGATCATGGAAAAACTACACTTACTGCGGCTATTACTAAATGTATTATTATTAATATTCTTTACATTGAAAATACTCACAGCCATGTAAGGTTACAGATGGAGAAAAATGAATGAATTCACTGGGTATTTGGTAATATTCAATTATTTGTCACATGCTTGGGGTGAATGAATTATGGATTGACGTAAAATAGGACCTGGGATTCCTAATATTTCATGTCAATATATTTGGCCCAGCACACTAAGCACTAGGCTGAGGTCTACTAACTACTTTTGAGTTAATCGGTATATTTCTTGGTAGTTCTGATTGAGTGATGCCTAGGTGAAAAATGTCGGAATGCCCA